TTTTTTTTTTTTTTTTTTGGCAATGCTAGGGATTAAACCCAGGCTTGTGGATGCAAGGCCAACACTACCACTGAGCTATACCTCCCAGGCCTAAACAGAGATTTTAAGATGAATATATTTCACTGAATTTAAATAGAATCCTAGGCTGATAGGAAATTTATGTCCTCTATCTTTACTCTTTGGCAGTATTCATTAACATTTTTCTTGTAGGAAATTGGAGATTTTTGTAAATTTCACTTTTATCTTATGCTGTAATTTTAGATTTAATTTGTTCAACTGGGGCTTAGGGCCTTATTTCTAACTTCCATTATTCAACATTATCCAATCATGAGTGACATATAAACAAAGAAGAAAAACGAAACACTAAACAACACACATGCAATTCAGTCAACATGGGAATGAGCTTGACGTGGTTGTATGCTTTTCATTTAAAAGTAGTGAGAGCCCAGCAGAGCCAAAACAGCACACTGATCCTGTCAGGGATCCATCATTTCCAAGGCAGATGGTGTGTGTGTGGCGGGGGGGTCAGTAGTGCTATTTTAATCTTTATTTTTCATTATTCAAAGCACTTCAACATTATAAAAATACTTCTCTTAACCAACATTTAATTTTGAAATATGCAAGTAGCATAGGTGTACATTACAGTGACAAACACTCTTCCTGTTTTGAAAATCACCAGGTAGGGCTGCTTCTGCAACTGTTTGTACATCTTGCTTGAAGCTCTGAAAGAACTCTAATTGCTACTCTGAAGAGGACTAAGTATAATCTAATCTGTTTAGGAAAGCAGTTGTTAAAAGCAGCAATTGCTTCAAGGAGAATATTAAAAGTGTATGAGGAACCCCTCCCCATCCTCTCTCCCTCCCCCCTCTAAGTGAATGATACATATATATAACTTTTTTTTTGGTACCTGGAATCAAACTCAGGACCTTCCGCTTGCCAGGCAGGGGCAGCACCACGGAACTAAATCTCCAGCCCATAGATATGTAACTTTATATGTGGCCTGGACTTGTAAGTAAAGGGGGATACATGGCAGCTGACTTTCTCAATGAAGGAAGAAAACACCTACCATTTTTTAATGGTTACTATTTGCTAGGCACCAATCTAGACATTCTACATTCACCATTTCATTTAATGCTCTCAAATTCACAATTGGCACAATAATTCCTTTTTTTTTTTTTTTAAGAAAAGGACACTGTGTTTTTGGAAGCTATTAAATAATTTGCCAAAGATCCCACAACTTGTAATGCATGGAAATGGAGTTTCAAACCCTGTCTAATTTAAAAGCTCAAGCTTTCAACCTTGACAAAATCAGTTAATATGGTGTTTGGTAAAAGAGCAATCTTCTAATATTGTAAATATGGGTGATTTCCAAGTTGTACCAATTGTGCTGTTTTCTTGTACATTACATTGTTGAGACGAAGTAGACCTTCTAAACAGTCAAATGAACAAATGAATGCTATTCAATTTTTAAATAATTTATAAAACTCATAAAACAGGTATGAAGCAAGTCCTATTATAATACAAAAGGAACAGAATAAAAGTGTTAAGCTTAGCAAATCTCCAGTCACATACTCACACAACTTTTACTGAGCATCTACTATGTACTAAGGAAGAAGCTACACACTGGTAACATAAGGAGCAAAAAAACTTGGTCTCCATCCTATGCTTCAAGGAAAGAAATGAATTATAGCTCAGTTTAACAAGTGCTATCAGGGACAGAGCCACATGCTTCCATTAGCAACTCAGATCACTGGCTATCTACTCACCTGCATGGCAGTTAGAGTGGTTTCACCAAGTCCCTCACAGATGAGTAGGGTTGTACAGGTAAACTGTTTCTGGGGAAAGAGGGGTAAGAAAGAAGTAGAGAAGGAAAGGATGACCCTGCAGAGGTTTGGTTTGTGTGGGTACCAAGGTTTCATGTGGGAGGAGCTCTTGCACAGGTGTGTACATGAAAGTGTGCAGATATGGCAATTCGTATGGCGATTATAAAAAATAGGTGAAGCCATAAGGAAAGGTCCCAGGCTTCCAAAACTGAGAGATTTGAATTTTATCCTGTAAGTAATAGGTTGAGAGATGTTTAAGCATATTTGCTATTAGAAAAGTAAGTAACAGTACAAAAGAAAATCAACTGGAACAGGAAAAGGACACCAAAGAGAAACTGCTCTGAACTCCAAAAGAAGGAGTAATCACCTCTGAGTGTGGTTGCACATGCCAGTTATCCCAGAATTTGGGAGGCTGAGGCAGAGGAATTGCTGAGTTTGAGGCCAGCCTGAACTACATAGTGAGAGCCTGTCTCAAAAAACAACAAAAATAAAACAAACAAACAAACAAAAAGGATGAAGGAAGTCAAGGAAAGAACAATAACCCCAACAAAGGATGAATAAGATTTAGCAACCAACTGGAAACAGATGAAAAAGATAAAGATGTGTGCAGTTTAGGAAGTTGGGTACATAACAAAATTATGGAGCCAGGTGTGGTGGCACAAGCCTGTAATCCCAGCATTCTATGAGGCTGAGGCAGGAAGATCAGAAGAGGAGGGGGAGAAGGGGAGGGAGAGGGAGTGGGAGAGGGAGGGAAGAGAGAGAGAGAGAGAGAGAGAGAATGTAGATCAGTGTTAAGGTAAGGCCTTAGGTTTAATTCCCAATGCTGGAAGGAAGGAGGAAAAGAGGGAATGAGGGAAGAGAAAAAGACAGGAAGCGAGGGAGGGGAGAGGGAGGGAGAGGGTGGGGGGATATGGGAACACCATGTGTAGGAATAAGCAAATGAATCCCACTCTGTACCTGCCCAATATTTAGGCTGGGGCGCAGAGTTTCTAGTTTGAGGTGAGTGGAACAGACAGCTGCTTCTCCTATCCCAGACAAACAGGGAAACATGTGATTTCCTCACAGGGATTGGTTCTTCCCTGCCTCTGCCCACTCTTGAGATGCTATGACCATTCCTGGACTTGTGTTCTCATCCCAAACCTGTCCCCTCAGATGCACCCCTTACCCAAGGGGCCTCTGCACAGTTAAATGAGTTCTGGCAGCTCCCCAGTCTTCCTCCTTCCAAACAGATGCCACACTGAAATCATAAATGTAAGCACTTTCCATCAAACCATTTTCCTTTACTTCCAACAAATAAATACGAAATGCCCTAGTGATGCTGCACACTTATATCACTCACGAGACTGAAGCTGAGGCAGGAGGATTGCACGTTTGAGGCCAGCCTGGACTACAGAGATAACAAAACAAAACAAAAACAAACAAAATCTCAAATCATGACAAAAAAGGGGGATTCTAAGAGTGTAACTTAGTGGTAGAGTGAATGCTTAGTATGCATGAATCCCCAGGATCCCCATTCCATTAAACCAGAATGCTAATTTATTAATTTGTAAGAAAAAAAAAGCTGTCAAAGGAATTGCTCTCATCTAAAAATCCAGCCCATTATCTCCCATGTAGGCAGACCTTGATTGAAATTGAAATTTAACAACTCTTTTGATCCAAACTCCTTTGGGCAAGTGCTGAAAGAAACATCACAAAGTCAGAGTATTAATTAACCATTGATGATCATGTAACTCTAGGTGTAAATTCAATAGTAAAACAAAAAGACTTTAAAAATGAGTGAGTATGCCAGGTGCTGTAGCCCACACCTGTAACCTAGCGCTCTGAGAGGTTGAGGCAGGGGGATTGCAACTGACCCTAACCTGGGCAACTAATCAAATCCTGTCTAAAAGTTAAAAAAAAATAAAATAAAATAAAGGGTAAGGAATGTAGTTCAGTGTCAAGGTCTTTGGTTCAATCTTCAGAACCACCAAAACAACAAAAAGTAAAGGGTGCTAAAGATACCCAAAGAATAGGTTATCATCCCTATTCTACTGTCAAAATATGTGAGAAATGAGAAATTTTACATAAAAGCACTTTCAGCTGGAAAGTTGCAAGGTGTCAACACAAGGTACGAACTACAAAATAAGTGAATAGAGAAACACGGCTATGTTTCATTATAAGTAATATACACATGATATTAGGGGCAAGAGTTACCAAATGTTTTCACTGTGAGCAATTTCAATTATTACAAAAATTTAAAGCAAACAGTAACTATTTGTCTTGTTTTAACTCTGTTAAAGTAGAGGAAAATTGTCAAAAATCAGATCTGCTCCCCAAACTAAGGGCAAAATTAAAATGTGGGGATGGACGGGTCAAGCAAAAGGAAACTACTCAATAATCACAGTCCACTTTGAGATAAACCATCTCCAAAGAGAGGAAGCAGAACTCTTCTCCTGGGTCCCTGTGGTCTTTCATCACAGAAAACTAGTTGAGGAGGCAAAAGGAACGCAAAGGAAAAGAGCAAAGTGAGTGCTAGGTCACCTGGGGTCTCCTGGCAAATGGGCGTCCCCAGGGTCCCAGGAACCCCCACACACACACCCCGCCAGCTGTTACCTTCATACACACACACACACACACACACACACACACACACCGCCAGCTGTTACCTTCCACTTCCTCCGTACCCTGGGGTCTCCTGGCAAATGGGCGTCCCTAGGGTCCCAGGAACCGCCCCCCCACACACCCCGACACACCGCCAGCTGTTACCTTCCACTTCCTCCGTACCCTCCATCAGCATATCCTTGGTGAAGTTTGAAATCTGGCCGGTGAGGGAAGCCAGGCTGCCCCCCACTTGACCCAGAGACTGGCCCAAGCCGGACCCGAAGCCCCCAAGCCAGGACGACATCTCTGCGGGTTTCGTGAACTATTTAGCCCGCTTGATCCAGCTGACTGTCCTGAGCCGCTGCGGAACGAGTCCCGATTAACGAGCCCAGGTTTGGAACCACAACACGGTTCTTCGAAATACGCAGAGGCCCGACCCGGAGCTTTACCAGGGGCTGGCCTCTAGTGACACAGTCACACCCGCGGGGTTTCTGGTCATTCTCACGACTTCCTGTTCCCCGGCCTGGCCACTTCTTCCTCAGCTTTAGTGACTTTCCCCAGTTCCGAAGACTATTCCTGCCAACTCGACGCTCGCCGCCATGATACCAGCGTTAAACGCAGTAGCGGATCATAGAGAGGTACGGCGGCGGGGTAGAAATGCCCTGCGAAGCTGTCAGACCTGTCATTGGCGCAAAGGAGGCTGGGATCGCGGAGGACCGAGTGCGGCCGTCCTCCAGTGTTAGCCAAGTAAACTGCTGGATTTGGCTGCGGGAGGCGTACGGGAAAAAGCATTGCACTCGAGGAGCCAGGGTTCCCAGGTAGAGCCAACCCTTGAAGAGAGCCGCCTGAAGCCGGCGAGACCCGAGAGCCCTGGACAGTCACTGGGTTGTTCAAACTGAGTGTTTTAACCCTGACTGCGTTCGCGTGGGCAGCGAGCGGTTCAAGACTTGGCCAGGTCGTTTCCTCGGGCGGGAAGGGACTCAAAGACCCCTCGTTATTGTATCCATTTCTCTGCGGGGCTGCGCTTGCCAGGCGCTGTACAGTAGTAGGAACCGAGGCCACGAAGGTGGGGTTGCAAGTTGAAGTGCCTAGGCAAGAAACGCAATGTTTCATGATTACCTTCTGGTGGCTTTCCAACTCACAATTGGAACTTTGCCTACTTTAATACGATGAGCTTTATTTCTGAAGCAGGTGGGTCCATCGCGGGACGAAATGACTTATTAAAGGCCAGCAGTTTGATTTAATGCAGAACTTCTGTTCGATGTAAACATTCCTATTAGCTAGGCGTGGTGGCGCACACCTGTAATCCCAGCCCTCTTGGAGGCCAAGGCAAGAAGCCTGGGCAATTTAGGAAGACCCTATGTTAACCTTTAAAACAAACAACAACAACAAAAACTGCATTCCTATCATATCGGTGGCACAAGTTGTGCCAATGCCCTCACCCCCCGCACCCACTCGGGTCCTTGCACTTGCAAGGCAGGCGGCGGAAACACTGAGCCAAATCCCTGTCGCCACACACTGACTTTTAACATACCAGTATCCTGCTCGTCTGCGTTCTCCCTTAAAGGAAGAAAAGTAGTCACGTATTTCAAGGAAATGGTGCCCGGGTGCATAGACACCGAGCACCTCCCCAAGGAGACTACCACGTTTTTGTTTTGAAAAGGTCTACAGTTTTTTTCAGCATAGCACTAGACATGCTGACATCTCTTTTTGGATTTTTTTTCACAGAATGGGCTATAGCAGATTACCCTGTTAGTGAACCCGACACTGGGAATGCCTCCAAATATTTGGAATCTCATAACAGCCAGTAATAGTTCTCCCTGAAATCCGAGTGGTTTTAAAACTAAATTTTCATCTCATTCTGGAAGTGCTAAATGCTTTCTGTAAGTTTATGAGAAAGATATTACACTCCAAGAATCAGCTGTACAGGCTTTGGAGCCTGCCTGGGTATGTGAGCTATTAGCTATATGACCTTCAATAGGTTGCTTTACCTCTGCGTGCATCCATTTGTGATTTATAAAAATGGAGAATGATTTTTTTTTTAATGGAGAATAATAGGGTCTGGGATGTAGCTCAGTGGTGCCCAGTCTGCCTGGCAAGTGCAAGGTCACAAGTTCCACCCCCCAACCCCCCCCCAAAAGAGAGAGAGAGAATGACGATAATGGCGCTTACTGGGGCTTAGGCAATATTTCTAAGAAATATTCTTGAATCAGTGCCCAGAACATATTTATATTGAAGTGTTTTCAAAGTTTTTTTAAATGTCATGCAAATAATCAGTAAATTATTAATGTATCTATTAATCTGGGCAGAGCAGAAGGAAAACACACACACACACACACACACACACACACACACACAGGCCCTTGGCCTCATGAAGCTTGAATCCTACTGGAAAGCCATAGATAATAAAATGTAATAAATGTTAGGTGGTAATGACTATGTGGGGCAGGAATAAACAGGATAGGATATAGGAAGGACGTGGTAAGAGATACTTATAATGTACATTCAAAAATCAGAAAATAACCTCATTCACTGATAAAGTAATCTTTGAATAGGGACTTGAAAGAAATTTTAAAAGAGATACACGAATATGGAAAAGAACAGTCCAGGTGGAAACTAATGCAAAGGTTCTAGGGCAGGAGAACACTTGTCAAGTTAAGAGAATTTGCAGGAAACCAGTGACTAGAAGAGTGAGCTGTGGGAGGGATGTAAGCAACTCAACACTGGGAGAACAATCTTGTGAGAGAAGGGTGCAAATCAATGACGGTAGCCCAGTTTGTAAGAGTCCTCAGAGCAGGAAATGGCCAATGAATTCTAGGGGCAGGGACAGCAAAAAGACAAAAGGAAAAGAGGCAAGAATGTCACAAACTGCCTGGAGATGGGAAGCCTGCAATTTTGTTGTGTGAAAATCAGAGTATTTACACAGAACCTGAGAGCATAATCTACAGCAGACTGAGGTTGTATGTTTATCCTATGGGACCACTGTGTATGTCAGGGGTGGTGAACCTATGGCACACGTGGTGTAGCAGGCTGTATCACTGAAAACTCTAAAAGCTTTGCCATCATTGGTATAATTGGTCCATTACTGAAACATTATGTGGCTCACGACTACTATGTTTGGATTCTGGTGTTCAGAAGTGAATAAAAGGAGGAAAATACCACTCTTAAAAAGGCAGAGGTGGACATTGTGGTATACCCTGTAATCCCAAAACTGGGAGGCTGGGGCAGGATGATCACAAGTTCAAGCACACTCTGAACAAACAGCAACTTTGTAAGGCCCTGTCTGAAAATACAAAAAAACAAAAACAAAAAAAACCCACCACAGTTAAGTTACTGTTGGGAATGGTGGCACACAGCTGTAAATTCCGCACTCAGGAGGCTGAGGCCAGTCTGGGTTATTACACAGTGAGACCATCTCACAAAAATAAAGTTACCCATGTGCTTTTGGCCTTCAAGGTTAAAAATATAATTAAGCAAACATTTATAAATCAGATTTGAAAAATAATTTGGAGTTATGTGTAAGACTTGAATAGGCTAAAGTGACTCCATGCTAATAGGCCAGACTGTGCTTCTTCATATGCTAATTGCTACCTTGGTTAACAGCCCACCTAGGGGCAAATGGTTTGACAAAAGGTGACCGTAGAACATTTCCTGCATAAGATAAGCAATGCGTTTGCAGTCTTGTTCTGTGAATTCCCTGACTCTTTGTTTAGAAAAACCTTATAAAAAGTACCTTAGCCCCTGAGCAGTTGCCTCTCTGAGCCACCTGGCTCCGGGAGTGCCGTCTGGCCAGACTAATAAAGGTCTTTTACCATCTAGGCTGGTGTGTTCCTTCCTGGGTTTCTCGGTTCTCCGTCGTGTTCCCGGAGCCTCGCTGGGTGTTAAGGCCCAGCATCGTGGAGGCCTTTTGGCTGTTCACGCTCCGTGAAGTGGAAGTGAGACTTTAGGTCTTACATTATGCAATCATAGAGCCTTTGGCAGGAGTATCAGTGAGCTCTGAGGCAGCTCCATCTGTCACTGAGCAGGGTAAGAGCACTCAATTCAATACAGAGGTGCTCCAACCTGTTGCTGTGGGTCTAATTCAGAAGGGGTGAGCGTGGCCTAAAACTTTTCAGACAAGCTCTTGGATCCTACAGATGTGGCTAGCCTCACATCCTTGGAACAAGTTGGCTTTGAATTAACACACACTGATAAAACAGGAAATAAAAAAGCAAACATTCTCTTTATTTAATAGTCTTTGATATTTAAAATACAACTCATTGAACATCCACATCAACAACAGAGTCCTCAGTGCTTAACAGTGCTTTGGAAGCCCAGCTTTTGGAGGAGGAGACAGGAAGGCCTGTGTGTGGATAACAGCAAGGACTCTAAAGGAGAGGGCATACACCAAAGGGCTGCAGGGTTGGGTCCTGAGCAAATAGCACTGCCACAGTGCACTTATATCATGGCCAAAAGACAATGCCTTTTCTTTCATGTGTTTTTGTTTGTGAATTTCAAAAATTTTATACAGAACAACAGTAATTTTTAAAAAGTTATTCCTAGTAGTCCAATCTTATAGAAATTAGCTAATCACAGTCCAAATTTTTCTTTCAAAAAGAAAAAAAAAAGCATTAAAAAATTCCAGGAAACATTCACCTCTGAACTATGCAAAAGACAACAGAGTGCTTCCTAAACAAATCAGGAATCTCCATATACATTTTGCTAATGCTTCCCACTGCTTTGTCTATGTATCCAGTCTAAAAATAATATTGATACACTATCATTAAACACACCCAACTGCCATATATTTAAAAATCATATTAGTACTCTTAAAATTTGGTAAAAATTTGTTTTGGAAAAAACAAAAACAGTAAAAGAATTCCTCAAACTAAGCAAAAATCAAGTACTAACCGTGTCACTCTCTTTTCATACATGAAAGAATAGAACACATGTAAGACTTTAAAAAATACAAAGCCAGTTCATTTCTTTACCAAAGATGCTAGTTATAAAGAGACTAGGAATGAGGGCTTTTATTCTGAAAAAATTATTTACATGGCTGAAACACTTAGTTGATCCAATCTGTTTCTTCTTAAGGTCACTGTATCATTATCTCCACACGTGTTAAACCTGTCTGTCTGTTTTGGTGGTGCTAGGCAAGAACTCTTACCACTAAGCTATACCCTCAACTTGACAGATACAGTTTTTAATAGGAGGTCTCAATATTATTGAATCCTACTAGTAACTTAAAAAATCAAGATTTTTCAATTTATAACTTTCAAATTACCATATTTTGCTTATGCACTGAAATCAATTGTTGGATTTCCAGTCTAGTGGGCCTGTGTTAAGAATTTAGTAACTCTTGGCACCAGCATTATTTTTTAAAAAATCAAACATATAGATATTCAAAATGTGACTTCAGCTCTGACTAGAATATAATTCATTTGTCAACTTGATATTAAGTGAAATACAGACTACTGGTAGTTTTTGCTTATAATAATACTCAACTAGTAGTTGGTTTTTTGTTTTGTTTGTTTTTTGTACCAGGAATCCAACTCGGGACCTTGCACTTGCGAGGCAGGCAGCGGAACCACTGAAATAAATCCCTGGCCCAATACTCAACTAGTTTTGAGCTTTCTTCTTTAACTTTGGCATTATGAATAAAGCCTTAATTAAGAAAAATCAAGTTTTTTTAAAGCTCCTTCTTAAACAAAATGTTCTGTGAATTGTAAATTATTTGGCTAAGACCTTAGAATTTAATATAGTTTACCTGCAGCAACCACTTCAATTTATATTATTGAAATATTTGTAAGTTATTTACTATAAAAAAAGTACATTGACTATTTCAGATCAGAGGTTAACTCTGAAGTTTTAAAACATAAATAACTACTTATTAAACCCATGATACCTGAAAATATGAAAGTGGTATTTCTAAAGTTTGCTTAAGCTTTACTTCTAACACTAGCATCACCACTGTACATATTTTATCCCGGTAATACAAATTATACATTAGAAAAATGATACCATTAGTTTAAATATTAAACATTAAAGTGTTCCCAATTGGTAAAGCAAAATGGAAATCTTTATAAAGTTTTTAGCAGGACAGTTATTGTGAATTTACTTCCTTTCTTGCAGGTGGTTTACAGTAAATGGTAGTTTCTGACATGAATTATAGATTTGTAAAACTTAAAACTTTTTGATAGTAAGGTTATAAGCATTGGCGTCTTTTCATACTGACTAATCAAGAAAGAAATGGAGTAACTCCAGCACTTGGAAAGCTGAGGAAGGAGAAACACTGTGAGTGCTACACACTGAGTTCAAGGTCAGGTTGAACTACAAAGCAAGAGCCCCTCTAAAAAAAATTAAAAAGGGGGGGGAATAAATTTAGGCCAATCCAAACAAGATGGCAGGTCAATGGTGATTCTGAATCTTTCTTCTAATATAACAATTTCACAACAAACATATTCAAACATATTCAGTGTGTGCTCAGCTCTGCTTTAAAAAGTCCCTAACATATGAAGGTCAACATGCTGTATTTTCTTCAGTGTTTTAGCCAGGGTGTATAACATATGAACTTTACAAAACTCTACAGTTAAAACCTTAAATGCATACTGGTTTTCTTATTTTTTTATTAGTTCATTAATTCAAGTGTATGAAAAGTTTAATGTAATTATTCAATGGGAAAAGGTAAAGACCAAATATTCATGGAAAATATGACCAGCACAGTGGGAACAACTCCATAAATATTCCATCTTAAAATATTCAGCTTTGTAAATCTTGAGGGAGTATTCCTGAACTCTCAATAGATATCCTTATAATTTTTCTGAAACATTTTAAATTATTAAAACTTTAGATTTTAAAATAAGACCAATTCTGTATAAAGGACATTTTAGAAAACTAACTGGCACAAAATAATGACTCCCAATATCTGTTGTAGGGCCAGGCATGGTAGTCCACGCCTCTAATCCCAGCACTCTGGAAGCTAAGGCAGGAGGATCGCTGTGAGTTCGAGGCCAACCTGGGGTGCATAGTGAGTTCAAGGACAGCCTGAACTGCATAGCAAGACCCTGTGTCAAAAAAAAAAAAGCTCTATCTAAGCAAAAGATATATCATAATCATAAATTAAAAATACTTTAATCTTTTTTCGGTTAACAATAAAACCTAGATCCAAACTTTCCCTGATAAAATGTGTGTAGCTACAAAGCAGTAGTGTAACACACTATATTTTTCTTAAATTGTTGCCTGAAATTTTTTCTTGAAGTTTAGCTTATGAACAAGGCAACATTGAAAAGGGCTTCAAAAGGGTATGAGAAACAAGTAACAGAAGCTAAATGGCCCATTTCAGAGACAGATGGTTAATTTTCACCAAAATCATACTACTAGTATATCAACCAAATAAGAAACTCTGCAGCTCAGTTAAGAATGTTTATCAAAACTAAGGACTTTCTTATTTACAGACCAAGTAATTAATGTGACTTCTATAAATCTTAAGCTATTTAAACATGATGCAACTGTCAAATAACAGTACACATTTAAATATATTTTCATCAGTACATTATTTTCATGTTCCATATCACCAACCCTGGCAAGTTATACCTACTAGAAAATGTGAAGTAGAAGTCTACAATCCATGACTTCACTGTAAATAGAACACAAAGCTCTAGTCTCAAAAGAAAAAAATAAAATGAAACTGCTACTAAAATTGAAGGCCAAATTGCATTTATCATACATTCATGGTGGGTATATATGTTAAGTCTTCTAGCAGAAGGAAATCTGCTTACATACTATGCTTCCCCTACTTTTATCAACTGGAGAAGAAAATAATAAGGCGCAGGAAAAGAGGGCTACAACAAAGCTGTAAAGTTGTGACATAATTGAAAAGACATTCATAAAGCATCTGGGCAAACAAATGCTTATATAGGTAATTTTTTAAATTCTCATTTGTTCTCAAAAATTTGTGCAGAGCTGATTTCAGAATCTACGAATGCACCAAAGTCATGAAATAATGATCCCATTGTACAGGGCTTAAGAAAAGCAAAACCTCAGAAAAGGTTATAATTTTTTCAAAGGAACTGTAGAAAAATAATGAAAACCAGGTAGCAGAGAAATTGTGATCAAAGAAAACATCACCAAGCATGACATATATAGTTGGGGGGGGTGGTTATCCTTCTAGAACCATTGTAGAACCCCAGGATGAGACACTTTCCAGAAAGGTTAATTTGGTTAGTGAGAAGTAAAACCAATTATTAGATGTTGAAAGTGAGCAAAAGTACTTATAACAGAAGAAAAAAAAAAAAAAACCCTATGGACAAGTTCCGTGGCAAGAGCTAATTAGGTGGTCTGCAAAAAGAGCCAACAAAAATGCCCTGATTTTAGACACATTAGGTATTGCACATTCAAAAAAGAAAAACCAAAGTTTAGAAGACTATTTAAAATTCTTTAATTGCTGAATGCCTGTTTGGCTAGTTTTTGGAGGATCATTATTTATTCCTACAATTGACACATTTTCTACTTTTCTAATTTTGTCTGCAAGACACCTAAACATTTCCTTTGATGAACAAAGTTCTCTTTGATACATTACCAAAATGAACCTTATGCTGTAATCACAAAGGACAATGTTGGAAAGTATGAATATGTAAATGACTTTAAAAGACACTATTTTTTCCCTTCTGCTTTCAAGTTATTTGTAACAGTTTCTAAAGACATGGTCACAGCTGCCTGAAGCATGTCTTCTTCACTCATAGAACCACCTGCTGGGAAATAAAACACATACATTTCTTAGAAATTTCTGGAAAACTGTCATCATAAGGTGAACTCTGAGGAAACACTTCTATTTGAACATTAGTTTTCTTTTTTCGACTTTTAAATTCATATAAAATAAAATTTACCCTTTTATAGTTTTATAATCTTTGACAGATGCAGAGGTGCATAACCAATACCACCAAGACACACTCTGGAAAAAAATCCCCAGGAACCATTGATAATGTTCTGTTGTATAGTTTTGCTTTTTCCTGAAAGTCCTATAAACAGAATCACACAGTAATAAGTATGCAGCCTTTTGAATACGACTCCTTTCACTCAGCAAAATGCATTTGAGATGTTTTTTTAAAAATTTATACTTTTCAGAAAAAATTTTTGAGTTAACTGTCAATTCATAGACGTTCCAAAAATAGTGTTTCAGCCCAATTTCACCCAAATCTTCATCTATTTAACCCAACAGTTACATTTTATGTAATCAAAGCTCAAAAACAAATCCACACATTAATACTGGTGCAAAATGTTGTATGTGGTTCTCTGTGGTATTTTATCAGAGTGAGGATTCATGTAACTATCACTACCATCAAGATACAGAGCTGGAGGGTGGAGTGCTGAGGGAAGGTAGCTCAGTGTTAAGGCACCTGGCTAGCATGGATGAGTGTGGTCCCCAGCACTACAAAACCAACCAACCAAACAAACAAACATACATACAATTTACAGAACCACAAAGATCTCCCTCCTACTCTTGCATTATAGTCACACCACTCTTCTCCACTCACTTTCTCTAAATGTTAGCAACCCCTTATCCGTCTCTATCACTACACTTTTGTTATTTTCAGAATGTTACATAAGCAGTTTAAGACCTTTTCTAACTTGAGCATGATGTCCCTGTAATGTATTCAAGTTGCTCCATGTATCAGCAATTTGGCTTTTTTTTTGAACCCTCAGAGTAGCATCCCACAATGTACTAGAGTTCATAGTTTAACCGTTCACCTTTAGTACATCTCAGTTGTTCCCAGTTTTTGATTATGATAAAGTTACTACGAGCATTTTCACTTCTCTAGGATAAACACCCAGGAATATTAATGCTGGGTCATATGGTGTACGTTCAATATTTTAAAGAAACATCCAACATTTTTTTTCCAAAATGACTATACTATGTACTATTTCAAATGAAATGTAGAGTTGACATGGTAGCGAACGCCTGTGGTCCCAGCAACTCAGCAGGCTGAGCTAGGAAAAGCAGCCTGGGTAACACAGCAAGGGCTCATCTCAAAAACTTAAAATCAGAATTGCCTTCAATATTTCCTACATATACACTGAAAACCACATCAGTGTTATTCTTGCTTCAACCACTGAACATAACTTAGAAAATTCAAGAAAGTCTACTGTGTTTACCCATATTTTATTCTATTGTTTTCTTCCTTCTGTATATATCAAGATTATTTATTTTATAATTTCTTTTCTGTTTAGTCATTCTTTAGTCATTCTTTCAGGATAGGTCTGAGGGAGACAAATTCTCATAAATTTCCCTTCATTCCTGAAGGATATTTCCTCAGATACAAAATTTGGGGTTTAGGCCTTTTCTTGCAGCACTTGAAAAATATTGTTCACTTCCTTCTGTCTTCTACAATTTCTCATAAGAAATCAGCTATCATTCAAATTGCTGTAGGGAAGGTTAGTTGTTGCTGATTTTTAAGACCCTGAGCCAGGTGTGGTGGTGCACGCCTGTAACCCCAGCACTCGGGAGGATCACTGTGAGTTCGAGACCAGCTTGGGCTATATAGTGAGTTCCAGGTCAGTCTCAACTACATAGTGAGACCCTGTCTCACCCTCTGCGCCTCAAAAAAAAAAAAAAAAGGACTAATGAACCTGGGTGTGGATTTCTTTAGAATTTTCCTATTTGAGATTCACTCAGCTTCTTCAATTTGTACATTTCTATCTTTTGTCAATTTTTCAATGATTATTTCTTCAAAAAGTTTTCAAGCCAGTTCTCTTTCTCATCTCATAGATTCCCATGACACAAACATTAAAACTTCTGTTATAATGCCACAGGTTCTAAGTCTGTATTCATTTCTTCCAGTCTACTTTCTATTACTTATAATGGGTAATTTCTACTGTTCTGTCTTCAAGTCCACTGGCTTTTATGTCTTATCCTTTCCATTTTGCTACTGAGTCTATTCACTAAGTTTTAAACTTCAATTACTGTTATTTCTCGGCTCTAAAACTTCTACCATGTGCTTCTTCATATATTCTATTTCTTTGCTGAGCTTTTTTTTCATTTGTGTTGAACACATTCGTTGAAAGTGTTTACTGAAGCACTTTTATGAGGGCTGCTTTGAAAATTCTTACCATGTAATTCTAATATCAATGCCACCCACGTGTTGAGTGTCTGATTATCTTTTCTTGTCCAAATTGAGATTTTCCTGGTTCCTCATATGACAAGTATTTTCTACTGAATCCTGGGCACTTGGGAGATTGAGACTTGGGATCTTAGTTAAGTCTTCTGTTTTAGCGAGCCTCCTCTGTCACAGCACCGGTGGGAAGAGTGCTGCCCTGCCACTGCCAGACTGGAATGAAAGTCCAGGGTCCCTTAGGGCTCTGATGACAGGCACCTGGATCACCACCCTGACTGCTGAACACACGTGGAAGTTCTGGCCCCTCAGTAATCCTCCACTGATGTCTTCCGTGCTGGGAAGGGAAGAGTTCTTCATTACTGTTCCCCGTGTGGTCTCCAAAGACACTGCAGGGTGGCTTCTCTGCTGCTGGATATCAGAGCCAGTCCTCATTCTCCAACAGGACACTTCGCTGACACCACCCATGTGAGCAGCCAGGAGGCCTACTTCCTACCAGGTTGAAGTTCAAGCTCTCCAGGACCACTGATGCCATGCAAAAGGGAAACTCAGTAAGTCCTAGAGGCAATGAAGATCCCTGCTCCTCATTCTGTTTGCTCTGAGCCCACCCTGGGAAGGCAAGGGGAGAGATGCACCTTCTTCCTGCCATGCTGGAGTAGAAATTTATGCATTGTTCTCTGCTGGTGGGAAGTGTGGTGGGGCCAGTTTACTCTATGGCTTCTGACTAGACTTCAGTGTTCATTTTAGATGAGATCAGGCATGTTCAGGTTGGTATGGTCATAGACAAGTGTTTTAAAGCCTCTGTCTTGTGAGGCAACTCCTTTTGCCTAGACACAATGAGCTTTTTTGTTTTTTTCCTTTTCTATGGTGGATAAGCTTTCCTCTTGGTCTGCATCTCTGGATTTTTCAGAGCCAAGACTAGGAAATATAAGGTAAAAAAGAAAATCCAGGCCACACACTGCCATGTCACCCCTCTGGCCCTGAGGTCCCTAGCCAATCTATCTTCTCTTTACCTTTGAGACCCCTCTAATGCTTATATTATTCAAATGGAGCTTTTTGCTGCACTTCAAGGAGGAACAGGAAAAAGTACTAGCTTACTCCTTTTAGTATTCACCTGTTTTGATTTAGTACTATAGCTTGTGTATCTATTCATGAAATGAAGACCAGCATGTAGGCAGTTTCCAGTTTCAGGCAACTATGAATAAAACTGCTGTAACTACTCATATGTAATTTTTTGTGTAAACCTAAGTTTTCTGTTTCTCTTGATTATTTATCTGAAGTAGGACTCCTGCCATGGTTAAGTGTATATTATACGTGTAAGTTTTTTAAAAAAGGCTAAACTGTTTTCTAAAGTTGCTGTACCAGTTTACATTCCCATTAGTCTAAGAGTTCCAGATGCTGTGATCCCTGCCAATATTTGGTAGTGCCCTGTTTTCAAGAAGGCATTCTTACAGGTTGGTTTTAATGTACCTTTCCTTAATGAGCATCTGTTCATGTCCTTATTTGTCATGCCTTGTGACAGTTAACTAACTGTGTCAACATGAGTAAGAAATGCCTAGATGGATCAGCACCGTGCTGGGTGTGGCTGGGGGGATTTACTGGACAGAAGACCCACCACAGGGTGCTTGTCTCCTGAATGGTGTAAAGGAGAAATGGAGAAGAAAGGCTCACTTATTTCTTCAAAGGAGCTCTACTCTGCCTTCACCAAGACGTACTCTCCTGGCTTCTGGCGCAGACTCTTCAGCCTCCACCACACACACTTTGGCCTCCAGATACAAACTCTCGCAGACACTACACTGAGCTTCAGGCTTTTCACTAGATCCTTCGTATCTTCAGTGCACAGGCAGATCCTCTGCATTCTTCTACACCTGACTCTGTGGGCGGCCACTGTAAGCCAATCTTAGAAATTCTTATATATTTGTATGTCCTGCATTGAATGTTTCTCTAGTAAGCACAGACTGATAAATCCTTTATCTACTTTTTTTCTTTTCTTTTGAGACAGGGTCTCACTATGTAGTCCAGGTCAGCCTTGAACTTGCCGCATACCCTAGGATGGCCTGGGACTTGGGATTCTTCTGTCTCAGCCTCCCAGGTACTTGAAGTACAAGGGTGCACCACCATGCCTGGCTCATCCCTGTCTTATTTCATGAAATCTCTTTTCAAATCTTGCATCCATTTACTATACAGTTTTGAGAGTTCTTTACAGAGTCTCTTTACAAGTCTTATGTCAGATACATTTCTCTTTCACTAGAATTCTCCTGCCAATACTTGGCCAAAAGATCCATTAAATCAAGCCTTGGTAAGCAACTCTACACTTCTTATTATTTTGATTACACTCAAATATTTCTAGTTTATCGGGTGGTAAAATGATTTACTTTCCAACTACTAATATTGTCTCTCAAAAACTTTCAGAGAATATATTATTATGAAGTTACAAACACTATATTTATGCCGGGCATGGTGGCGCACACCTGTAATCCCAGCACTCAGAAGGCTGAGGCAGGGGGAATCCCTGTGAGTTCCGAGTCCAGCCTGGACTACATAGTGAGTTCCAGGTCAGTCTCAACTACATAGTGAGACCCTGTCTCAGAAAACAAACAAACAAACAAACAAACAAAACCAAACACTATATTTATAACTTATAACTAAATATTCATTGAGTGTTGTCTGCCTGCTCCTTAGTTCAAGGAAATTTAGTAGATTATAAATTTATTTAAAAGTTTTAATATCACTGAAGAGGGAGCCTGTGCATCAAACACAGAATGCAAGAAACATGACAAAGGATATATACCTAGATCACTCCCAAGTGCTCCTGAACTTGTGGTCGGTTTTTCACATGGCTGTGAAGCCTGTCCTGGTGTATCTGTCTGCTGCTGCTGCTGCTGCTGCCTGAAACATTCAAAAGTGAATGTACATAAGAAAAGCAAACTTAAGGATAAACATACCACAGGAAATCTATTCTCATAGAAAATAAACTGCCCCACTGGCACAAAAAACACAAAAGGTGAGAAGAATAATTAGTCTGATAATTAAAAGTATAAAAATATAAGATATTAATATACAGAAATGTCCATCCTACAAAACCTAGTTATAAAAATTTAAATGTATCAGATAAATTAGGAAGTAGTTATTTTCACCACAAAATAAATTTCCATATAGTAAGGTTTATTGGTAGTTAGTCTTATGGAAATGAGGGTTGCTTTATAGATCATTAATGGTTTTAGAAGCCACTGAAGAGTATCTCTGCGAAGATAAAACATCTGAAATTACCATGAAAGTTTATGTGCTATTTCCATGGCTTCCTCCTTCTTGTTATTAAGATCTGCGCTTACGTATCTCCCCAGAGATGCCACTCCTGGTCACCCCACTAAGATAGGCACTTGGTATTCTATCTCTACTTCATTTTCATTCTTGGCATAAACTTGTCACCATCTGATAGCCCTCTGTTCAGCTTACTATGCATGGTATAAGCTAAAAGAAGCACAAACCTTATATTGTTTATCTGTTTCTTCAGTGCCTAAAACCATGCCTGTCATGTGGCAGATATTCACCAGATACTCGATAAATTAGAGATCAAAACAACACATCAGCAAGTGCCAGCAGTATTTATTACATTAAATTCTTGTTTTTTAAAAAAAGCACCAAAAAACATACATTTAAAAACATTTAAACATAACAGTCATTATGTAAAAATAAAGCTAGCTGTGGTGGCAATGCCAGCAGTCCCAGTAAACTGGGAGGCGAAGGCACAAGAACTGCTTAAGCACAAGAACTGGGGATCAGCCTGGGCAACACAGCAGATCCCATTTCAACAAATAAACTACCATGCAGGAGGGCACCCTTGTATTTAGAAAATGTACAGAGTTGGGTGTAGTAGTGCACAACTGTAACTACAGCTACTTAGGAGACTGAGGCAGGTTCCAGGCAACCCTGGGCCACTTAATGAGACCCTATCTCAAAATAAAACTTAAAAAAGGCTTAGGGAGCCAGCTCAGCACTAGTGCACTTGCCAAGCATGTGTGAGGCCCTGAGTTCAATCACTAGTACTGGAAAAAATATATATATAAAGCAAAGTGAATTGGAGAAGAGCAGAGAGGAAAGAGGAGAGATACACATACACAGAAGTACTGAAACAGTAAAAATAATTCAAGTTATTCCCAAATGATTCAGAAATGTCTCCAACTAATGGACAGTGTTGGTAAAGGGTACCAAAGGGGATAAGGAGCTCTGCGTACTACTTCTGCTTTTATGTAAGTTGAAACATGTATTAGTTCATATACTATATACAGAAAACTAAAAAAACCTTACAAACAGCTCACAATCTGAGAAGTCAGAGCCTTAAAAAAATGTAAGGATTTAAATGGAATCCAAACTCTTAAAACTAACAGCAACACAAGTAATAGTATAGCACTTTTTCCCCCCTACAGTCCCTCTCAATTTTGAGTTTTAAAAGTGAGCAAGCAACAAAAACATTCACCAGTGGGAATGACACTCTCCCCTGCAGGTCTGAGCTAGAACACCATGGCACAGGTGTAAGACACACGGTGTGAACAGTCAACGGTGCACACATGGACAGTACACTATGCTCCCTCTAGCCAACCTTGACTCTGGAACTTGGTAGGAGGAAGATAAACTGAGTTATGGGGAATTTCTGGCACTCTATGCAAGAATACATGCCAGAATAGAAGGCAGAGGTGAGACAGCAACTTACATTTAGCCTACTTTCTACCTTTTTTTTTTCTTTACTCATTAATTAGTAGAAAATAATAATATATATTCATGGTTTTTTTTCTACTTTTAATTTATGAAAATTGAAAAACAAATCTTTTTAAAATTTTTTTTTGGTTTGAACCAAGGACTTGCTATATATAGTTCAGTCTGGTCTTGCACTCACTATGTAGCTTGGACTCACCTTAAACTCATGGCAATCCTCTTGCCTCAGTCTCCCGAGTACTGCGATTACATTCATGTCCCAACATGCCTGAAGAAAAGTAAATCAACTGCCACCTTTGAAGCAGTTTTAATACCTTCCAGCCTTGATAATACCAAAAAAGTCCATCCCACTGTCTGTTCTAACAATTTTCTAGTATTACAGAGGTTGCAAAGCTAGTGTGCACCTCTTACACTCCTTGACAGACAGGGTTCTAGTTATGAAGGAATCACTCACATGAGAGTGAAATGAGGCAAGGCATCTTCCTGCAAAACCATGGCAATGCAGTCCTTGAATCCCACTTCACTGCTTTAGTAGTGAGTGGCAGATTTTATGCTCCCAGGTCTAGACAATGGTGGCACTGGCCCAGGATCACGGCTACAGCAGTGTTCTCAAACCTCATACAGCCAGTGGTGAGGCCGCTCTACAGACAAGTGCCCAAACTGCAACCCCAAATCCACTTTCTCATGTGACGTGCCAACACTGCAATTAAACCTAAACACTGAGGTTTTAGTTTAGAAAAAATGACTCATAATTTAACATCTTTTGTATAAAAAGAAAAACACCATAACACCTATGCCATAAGTTCACCGTGACTGTACCAATTCCCTACCAACACGCAATAGCGTCCTAGATCTTCCTCCAGGCTGGGCTGTGGTACTCTGGAGGGTTGGTCTTGAACATCACCTCCTGCTTTTCCTAAGATTATAAAGCTCTTAATCTCTGTACTAAATACGTTACTGCTTAAACACCCGTGAAGACTGATCATGTTTGGTTAAGAGGACCTGAACTTCATAGGCTCAGCAATTCCACACCCTAGATGTGGAGGACCCACCGAGGGTCATGGCCTCAGTGACATGAAGGGGAAATGAGGAAGGACAGATCTGTTTCCTGTTTCTCTAGAGGAGCTCAGTTTTCTCCTTGGACATCATCTCCTGGCTTCCAGCGCAGACCCTTGAGCCTTCTGGAGTACTCTTCAGCCTTGCAGCACAGACCCCTCAGCCTCCTGATACAGACTCACACAGGACACTGCAGTGAGCTCCAGGCCTTCAACTGAATCCTCCGGTCTCCATTGTGCAGAAACCCTCTGCACTTCTCCCCATCCAACTCTGGGTGGCCACTGTAAGCCAATCTTGTAAAATCATATATATCTGTATATCTTGTGTTATATCTGTTTCTCCAGTAAATACTGACTGATATACACCCCTAGTAGTTTCTGTTTCTTAAACTGAACCCTGTCTGAACTATGCCATGTAACAGAAATGATGGCTCAAGTATTAGGCAATCAAAAAGTCACAGCAGTCAGTATTTGTATCCTTCCTAATGGGGAAACACTATGTTTTTCCTAACAGGATTTGAATCATTTTAACATACCTCTGAGGACACAGTAATAATTTCAGCTAACAAATATCTTTTGAATACTTTATAAAATAACTTTTTTTGTTGTTTATTTCAGACAGGATCTCACTATGTAGTTCAAGCTGGCCTTCAACTCACTATGTAGCCCAGGCTGGTTTTGAACATGCAGCTATCTTTCTGCCTCAGCCTCCCAAGTGCTGGGATTACAGGTGTGTGCTACCATATCCTGTGTACAAAAAAGTATTACGCTCACTGCTTAATTTGATGCTCGTAACACATGAGTTAAGGCAGGTTTTACAGTGACATGGATGACGAAATAGAGTTTTGCTTGGGATTTTATGACAGAAAAAGCAGATTTAAAGATTACTACTAGAAAAAAATAGAATATCTGAAAATATTATATAATAGCTGTTATTCATCAAGTATGAATTTGTAGTATATAGATTCTTAACAGTATTTTTTTTTTGGGGGGGGTACCAGGGATCAAACGCAGGACCTTCTGCTTGCAAGGCAGGCAGCAGCTCCACTGAGCTAAATCCCCAGCCCTTAACAGTATTTTTTATACAAGAAAGAAATCCTATAATGTGCTTTATGTATGAATATTGTGGTTACTATATTAAATATGAAGCTTTAAATATTCAACAGGAGGAGGAAAAAACTGTAACAGTGTATGAAAGACAAGTTAATATCAGGATCAGTTTCTAGAGCAAGAGTCAGCTTGACAAGTCTTCGAGTCAAGGACCCAAAGACAGCAACTAGGGAGACATCTATGGTAAGTAATCAAGAATTTTAGTGAAAGAAAAATAAGAATGTCTCAGCTGTTCTGAAAATGAGTTCTAAAAACTTTTAAATGGGAGCCAATGTTAAAAATAAATACCAATTAAGTTATTTCTTAACTCTTCTTAGTAACATGTGACTATGTAAAATACTCTCTGGTTCTTTGTATTTTCATGAGCATTTTCAAGTCAAACTAGAAGGCAGAGGCTTAAAGGCTAAAGCTGGTAGCCGTTTTCGATCCACAATCAACTATCAATATGCAAATTTTTCATTTTTTAAAAATTTTTTTTTTGGTACTGGGGATCAAACTTGGGTCCTTGCACTTGCAAGGCAGACGGAGGAACCACTGAGCTAAATCCCTGGCCCAATATGCAAATATTTAAAGGGTGCAAGGCTGACCGAAACATCTGTTTACTAAAACACACTAGTTCTTGTTTTATAAGTATGCTTATTATAACTTGTTATAACTGACTAAAACTATCTTACTACTGAAAGCAAAAAATATATCGGAAATTTCACGTTTTTAATCCAAAAACCTAAAGAATGTTTTTTTTTGTTTTTGGTACCAGGGATCAAACTTGGGTCCTTGTGCTTATGAGGCAGGCAATGGAATCACTAAGCTAAATCCCTGGCCCCAAGAATGTTTGAAGGTTTTTAAATACAAGGGGCTTGATTTATACTGTATATCTTTAGAAGCTTTCCTTTTCTTAGGTGTATTTGTGAATTTTGTAGTGTCTCTGTAACATATATCTGTTTGGACCCTCTTATTCTGGTAAAAAAAAAAATGCTCAAATGATAGAAATTTGTTTGGGAACTATTTTGGAAAAAAACTTAGAAATCTGCATTAAGGCCTTAAGAATGAGTATATACATTGCTGGGTGTAGTGGCACACACCTGTGAGTCCCAACACTCAGGAGGCTGAGGCAGGAGGATTGCTGAGAGTTCAAGGCCAACCCAGGCTACATAGTGAGTTCAAGGCCAGCCTGAACTACATAGCAAGACCCTGTCTCTCAAAAAAAACAAAAAAATGAAAAATAAAATGATTATATCCTATAATCTGACACTGGACATCCGCAGAATAATTAGAAGAAATCATGAGAGTCTTTCAGGATTGATCAATTCACTATGTATCATAATAGCAAAAATCTAAAGGTGACATTTATATAAATTATATTAATGCATGCACTTTATAAAACCTTAGCAACCTATTATGAAGAGTATTTACCATCAAAGGAAAACAGGTATAACTAATCTACAGCAACTGTATGTGTGACAAGGACAGTATGTGTCCAAATACTAGTGCCAGTTAGTGAAGGACAAAAGACAGGTTCCACACTTTTTAAAAAATTATAGAATTCCTTAAAATAAATTTTCTAGGCTATTAGCTTATTTACATAAGTAATTTTAAGTTATTTTTAACATTAACTACATACTTGACACAGAATTATTGTCAATAAATATGTCACTATTATTGTATGGCAATAGCATTTGACTATGTTAAAAGTACATACATTTTAGAGACACACTAAAATAGTTATGAATTAAATAATATCATAATCAGGATTGTTACAAAACAATCCAAGCTTAGGGGTGGGAGAATGGAAAGAACGGGAGTTGGAAACATAAAAATTAGACTGGCCTTGTGCCGACATGTATCAAGTCTCAGTAGTAGATAAAAAGGGGTTCATTATTTTAATTTCTCTAAATATGCATAAATTTGACATTTATCCTAATTTTAAAAATTTCAAGTTAATTCTAAAATTTAAAAGGAGGGGCCAGGGTTGTAGCTCAGTGGCACCGAGCTTGCCTGGCAAGTATGAGGTCCTGAGTTGATTCCCAGTACTGAAAAATAAATAAATAAATAAATAAATTTTAAAAGAACTGAAAAGCACTGATATACACAATTTAACTATTATTAACTCCATTACACTATCACTGAATAAAGACTGGAAGTATCTCACATCAAGAGGATGTCGACAATGAGACCTTATCTCAAAAAAAAAACAACCCCCAAATGAGGGTGTTATCTGATCAGAACTTTCCTTCATGTATTTTAGTTGTGACTTAAAAAGCGGAGGGGGGGGGTAAATATTATCTTAATTAAACCACCAAATATAAAATGCTCTAAAATTTTAGATAGCACTAAAATATTAGCAATTATAATCACAAGATACTGCTCAATTTCAGAGATGCTGACAAGTGAAAATATGTGCATCTTTAAATTGATGAAGTACACTAAATTACAGGGCAGATTCAGTCACAGGCCTTTCACTGCTGACTCAGGGTGAGAGGGTTTAAATACCTATTATAGATCTGACAATTTTTAAGGTAGGGTTTCATTTTTCTTTAAAAAAGAAAGGGGAAGGGCTGGGGATTTAGCTCAGTGGTGTTGCCGCCGCCTGCCTTGCAAGTGCAAAGACTGGAGTTCGTTCCTCTCGACCAAAAAAAAAAAAAAGGCTAGGGGGAGACTTTCGGGGAATTATTGGAAAGGAAGATTCGTTCATGGGGGTGAAAATCTCCTTTGCAAACACTCACAAAGCTGGGCACAACATAATGTTTTAGGAGTTGCTGATTCAGACTTATGGTTTGCTTCCATGCCAACGCTGACGAGTCCTCAGGCTCTGCCTAAAGTGGCAATGAGCAGGACCATGAACCACCACCTCTAACTATGAGTGTGTCCCCAACCTAAATGCTGTTTTCCTATTAAATGACAGAAGAACGTTGTAACTAGTCATGCAGGCAAGAAGTACATCTAAGGAATCAACAGGCACTGTTTCTCCCTTGTCCTAATTCCATTTTCCTTTTGATAAACAAAATTTTATAAGGTTCCCTTCATCCTATTTCATGTAAATTTATTCAGTATTGAGGCAAAGATTTTCTCTAAAACTACAGTACATTCATTTCATATTGCTATACCACATTTTTAAAAAACATCAAATGTTCAAAGTTCAGGCAGTAACCAATCTAGAAAAAATAGTCAAAGCAAATATTAAACATGCAACTTTAATTTGTACCAACTACTTTACTTTTCAAAGTAGGCTTCTCTTCTTTTCCGCAGCTCTTCAAATGTAAGATTTGTACCTGATGTCTGCGGAACATCTTGAGATATATTTCTGGAACTGCCTGAAAATAAAATAGAAGAAAAATCAACTATTTTATTTACCAATCCAAGCAATGATATAGTCTTATTTAAGCAACCTTTCAAAATGTTTTCTTAAAAATATTCTGCTAGGCTCGCTTACACCGTATGGCCACTGACATTAGCTACAACTCTCTCTATTCTAATGGGGAAGCAGCAGACTGAGAGACTGAACTGTATCTACCTCTATTTCCAACAGACTCACATTCATTTCCAACAGACTCATGTACAACTTTTGCTCACACAAAAAAGACAGGAAAATTTCATTAATCTTTTTAAAGTTAATATAAAATTAGTTAAAAAAAAAAAGGAACCTGAACTTTATAGCAACACAACTGAAATTATCTGCAGTGGTGGCAGCAGCAACAGAGATTTAATTTATTTGATTTTCTGTTGTTGTTGGTTGTTCACTAGTCTCATGGTTATGGAAAACACACATTTTTTTCAAAGGGACCAAGAAGCTCCTAGAGGTTTGGTTCTGGGGATCCTGAGAACTGAGTGGAAGATACTTTTGAAGGATGTACACAATATTCAATCATAAGTGTGACAAAAACTAGCAAGCAGGAAACTTATGTACTCAGTAAGAATAGCATGTCTGTCTCCATGAGACGTTTCATTTTGAAGACAGGCAGTACCACCTTCTCACTGAAAGCACTGGTTCCCCTGTTGAAAGTTGCTAGTGATTATGGTGGGTTTGACTAGATTCAAAGCTTTTATTCTTATAAGAATTTCATGAAGCCTTCTCACCAAGGGTACCTACACCAGAATTTCTAGAAAGGAATGAGTTTCTTACTGCAATTTTCCCAAATGGAGCAGCGTATTAAATGGGATGTATGAACTCTGGCTGTTAGTACCTGTATACTCTGGATTTCCCAGAGAGTCAAGTAATCAACCAGATCAGATCTTGGAAATTCTGCTGAGAGAGACTGACCCAGGAGTAATGGACCAGTTCTACAAGAAAAATGATGTTCTGCAAAGGATTCATTCATGAGAGTGGAATTTGTGACCTGATACCAGGTCCTGTCATTGACGTCACACTGTTCAGTCCTTGTGGGTATTCAATGAATGGAATGAAATCAGATGGAACTACTCACATCACTCTAGAACCAGAATTTTCTTACATTAGCTTTGAAACAGACTTAGGTCAGATCCCTTGTGATGATCTGATCAGGAAAGTTGTGTAAGTCTTTAAGCCAGGAAAATCTGTGACCACCTTGTTTGAATCAGAGTCCTAAATGTCACACAGTGCTTTCTTCACCCCAGAAGATGGAAGGTTTTAAACGTCTTGATTGCCAGAATGCTATGTTCAGTGATTACAATTTTACTTTTACCAGTTTTGCTAAGCAGCAGCAACAATAGCAGAGGTGATTAAGAAAAATGAAGAAAAAATGCAAAAAGAACACACACAGAAGGTGGTGGCTGCTTTCTAGATATTGATACCAGGCCATGCCTCCCATAACCTGCCCCTTGCAGGAGCAGAAAACCCTAGAGGTAATGTAGTGTAATCATTTTGAAGTACATGCATTATTATATCAAGGTATTAGATATCTCACATGAATGCTCTCTTCTGTTTAGGTATTTTATGACACTCTTGCTGTGAAATTGAAATGTGTGTAGAAAAAACTTTTACTACAGGAAACTTTGTAACATTTGTGAAAGTAAATCAATTTCGTTTATGCACAGTGTAATATTTCTGCAGGTACCACCCAAAATTCCCCACAGACAAAGCTTTTGTCCTGATTAGGTACTGGCTTCAGTCTAATAATCTGGGACTATTCCATTAAATTGCTCCCAGAATTTTATATCCTGTTACCTCCACTTTCTAGAACATATTCTCTACTAATTGAAATCAATTTCTACTTCAATTGCTGCTGCAGAAACATTTGGTGGCAGTACCCGTCTGTAATGTAGTAGCTGTCAGAACTTAAGTCCAACAACCTGCTATGAGACTCCTTCAGCACCACAGCTGTGTGCTCTCTTTAACTTATTAAAAATAAACCAGTATTGCTGAGGATTTAGCTCAGTGGTGCCATGCCTGCCTTGTAAATGCAAGGTCTGAAGTTTGATACCTGGTACTACAAAAAAAAAAAAAAAAGATATTTCTAAAAAAAATAATATCAGCACTTTCAGAGGCATGGTATTCCTTGAAGCAGCTTAAGGTGGACGATAATCAAAGAAACCCATTCTCTATCTTCACCTATCCTCAGTCTCTGGGTACTCTAACAAATGAAATGTTTCCCTGCTCTTACTGATATTTGTACCAATCAGATTCTACACAGACGGTGAAACAAAGTAGTAAGAAAAATGGATTATACAAAAACACCTAAGACAATAAGAGCTAGTTTCCATGCACTACTGGGCAAATCTAACAGAGCTTTACTAATCAAACATGGACTGCACACCATATGGAGTACTCACGTACCTAGAGGCACGAGGTGTTTAGGGTAAAAATAATCTTCATATTAAAACATTTTACACATTTAAGTGAACCACTTTGAGCTATGTGTCCACATTTCTCACTGCCTATATTCTCTAGGGACAGATCATCTCTCTCTCTCTCTCTCTCTCTCTCCCCTCTACTGATGGCCTTGTATCACAAGAGTGGGACCACCAAAGGGTAAGGCTTGAGTTTCGCAGCCAAGGTCTGCTGAATTTATACTGTCTAGATCCTTCAGTCATGTCCAACAGCATACATTTATAAAGGCAAGCATCATTTGACCCCGACAGAGGTTAACCTCTCTGGTGTTAGTGGAGTGTTATAAACACATAAAATAAGGATAAATAAACATATAGTTATATTAGCTAAGTAAAACTACTATGGTCCTAATATAGGTTGTAGAAGTGATTTATAAGAAAAGCTGACTGTACATAGCTACAGCTCCTGCTGTGACTGTCAAAGAATTTCTAACTATTAATACAGTAACTTTCAGTAAAACTAAGAACAATCTGAATCAATTCACTAAAAATGAAGAAAGCACCCATCAAAATGTTTATACCTTGCATACTGAGCTGAATAGCCCTGCGGAGATCTGCTTCCTCATCTTCCATGTCAATTTCCTGACGACTTAGTGCCAGAGCCCTCTGTAAATCCTCCTCATCTTCATCTAACATTCCCGATCCATCATTTCCTTCTAGGACTTGTTCCAGGTCTGTTCTAAGGACTCTAAAGGGTAAAAGCATTCATATTAACTGCAGCCCAGTCTTCACTTTAAATATTAAATAAAGGCATTTGTACACTAAATGTTTCTTTGAGACAAGGTTTCGTTATGAAGTTTAGGCTGGCCTTGAACTCACTACGTAGCCTGGACTGGCCTTAAACTGGCAGCAATCCTCCTGCCTCAGCCTCCTGAGTGCTAGGATTACAAGCATAGGCTACTATACCCACTTGTACACTAAGGATTTTAAGTAAATTTTAAAAAATTATTGTCTGGCAGATAGAGTTAATAGTATGAAGATTGTGTTATAAGCAAGGCATGGTGGCACATGCCCGTAATTCCAGCACTCTTGGCAGCCTGGACTGTATAATAAATTGAGTTCAAGGCCAGCATGAACTACATATAGAAACCTTGTCTCAAAAGACAAACAAACAAACAGAAAGATTGTGTTATGTAAATCTAGTTTAATATATTTAAGTAACTCAAAGAGGGTTTTTTTCTTTTTTGTTGTTGTTTTTGGGTGGGGGTACTGGAGATCGAACTCAGGACCTTGTATTTGCGAGGCAAGTGACGGTACACTGAGCTAAATCCCCAGCCCGAGAGGTGACTTTATTTTTTGAGACAGGATCTCACTATGTAGCTCAGGTTGGCCTTAAACTCACTATGTAGCCTAAACTGCCCTTGAACTCATGGCAATCTTTCTGACTTAGCCTCCCAAATGCTGGGATTACAGGAATGCACCACCATACCCAGCTTTCAGAGAGTTGATTCAATAAAGCTCACAAAAACATACAGCCTAGCTGGGTGCAGAGGAACACGTGTGTATAGCCCCAGATTCTTGGAAGGCTGAGGCAGGAGGGTAGCAAATCATTTTTTTTTTTTTTTGGTACCAGGGATCGAACTCTGGTCCTTGCGCTTGCAAGGCAGGCCACCGAACCACTAAGCTAAATCCCCGGCAGGAGGGTAGCAAATTTGAGGCCAGCCAGGGCAACTTAGAGATCTTCTCTCAAAGTAAAAAATAAAAAGGACTGGGATTATAGTTCTGTGATAGAGTGCCCTGGATTTGTTCCCCAGTACTAAAAAAGAGGAAAAAAAAAAAAAAAAAAGAATGAAAGAGAAAAAAAATACAAAGAAGAAAAGAAAAATAAGGGAACTAGGAGTATAACTCAGTGGGAGAGCACATATTCAAGGCCTTGTATTTGATCCCCAGCTTCACAAAAAATAAAATTAAAGATAAGGTTTAAAGAGAGCCACCAACAGTAAACAGACTATATATTCAATGTAAACATAAAAGTTTAATTCTTCTAATGAACTATTATCAAATATTCCATATTGCAGGCTTTATTTTTACCTCTGCTCTTTTAGTTGTGCTAATTCTTCACCAATAAGTTTTGGTCGATGCATCTGTTGGACCCTGATCATCTGGAGAAGTTGGTCAGCTTCACAATCTGGCAGATCACCCTTAACAACAAATATAGAATAACCTAAAAAAGGCAAACATAAACTAAAGCAACTAGTAAGAGATTCAAAATTGATTTAAAATGAAAGCAGACAGACCAAATGGATACAAAATGGTAGCAAAAAGAACGCTGGCTTCTTTATCTGCATAATGTATTGAACCAGAGTGCAAGAATGATCCTCACTGACATGGGAAATGCGAGAGACCATGAGAGGCAGCATAGCATGGTGGAAAAAACACAAACTAAAGATTCAAAAAGAACTTAGTTCAAATGATGATTCTTGTTTTGTTTGTTCTGAGACAGGGTATGTAATTCAGGCTGACCTTGAACCACTATGTAACCTAGACTGGCCTCAAACTTGTGAAGATCCTGCTGCCGGAGGATCCCAAGTGCCAGGATTACAGGCGTGCACCCCATGCCCAGCCCCAAGTGATGATTCTTACATGCACTTGTCCGATGACCCAAGACCAGTTACTTAAAGTCTCAGAGTCTTACTTTCCCCACTTGTAACCCTAGAACAGCTGTCTCATCAACCCACTATGAAAAACAAAGGAAATACTTTTTGTAAGGACCCTACTAACAGTGCTTGACCACACAGGCTTCACTAAATGATGATAGACAGACAAAGGAGGGGTAAGAGCAGAGGATCTGGAGTCGCATTGCTGGGGTTTAATCCCAGCTCTTCTGCTTCCCAGCTGCACAGTGCCTGTCAATCATTTTACACATCTATCTTGGTTTCTTCAATTGAACAGATGATCATCGGCCTGATGTGAGGACAGAGTCAGACGCTGTGTGTAACAATGGGTAATGTGGTTAAAATGAACCACCTATGGAAACATCTGCAGACCCTTTCTCACTGAAAACATGAGCTGGGAAACAAATATCCCAAATCTAGTCAAGGAGTCCAACATCAACATGTGGGCTCATGTTTTGAAAAAATTTCAATGGCCCAGGGCATTTTTATATATATGAATTAAGAAAGCCAGGGTATGCCTACCTGACGTTCCACACAGAAACTGACCTAAGGGTGGTCTATACTTAGGTCAGTTTAATCAATTTAAAGGTTTTCTATTACAAATTTTTCATAAACTTTGGTGATTATTATTGGACAGTCTTTGTTACTAAAGATAACCAAACAGTTCAAAATGACCATTCATGGAAAAATTCAAAAGAATACAATTTTTTTTTTAAAGGACAAAGTTTCTTCAGAGTTCAGATAACATGTTTTCTGCCAATAAAATTTTTTCTAGATCCCCAAATAAACACACCAGCTCACATGGCATTCCATGGAGCCCATCACAAAGAGCAGATACTCTGGTTTGTTTGGGTAACACACCAGAGATCTTGGGTTTTCGTCAAGCCTTCAGATTTTCTTAAAGACACTGAGAAGTCACTGAACATTAAGGTGTGAGATTGTGACGTAACATTCATTATGTTTTTCACAAAAAGCAACCTGGTTGCTTTATCAGTATGATATATAACAGTGATGGCGAACCTATGACACCCGTGCCACAGCCAGCTGTTTGATATCCCTGAAAGCTCTAAAAGGTTCACTATCACCGATATGTAGGAACCAGACTGCAAGATGAGTGATCCTTACTGAAATGGAAAACCCCAGAGATACTATGTATGGGTAGAAAAACAAAACAAAACCCAGTCTTTGTGGACATGCTCAATTTGAAATGCTTTCTGGACTTCCAAGTAAAGATGTTAAAGTTAGGAATTTGAGCCAAGTGTCATGGTGCATGCCTGTAACCCCAGCTTTTGGGAGGCTGAGGAAGGAGAAGCACCACGAGTTCAAGGCCAGCCTGAACTACCTAGCAAGATTCTGTTTCAAAAAACCAAAATAAATAAATAAATAAAATCAGGAATTTGGTGATAGGGTAAATGTCTAAGCAAAAGATAAAGTTTGGGAATTACTAACATATAAGTTTAGTTCAAAATGACATTCAAACTAGTGGGATGGTACATAATTAAGAAGCTGTTCAAGAACTGACCTCTGGGTCACTTCAATAAAGTTTGGAAAGAATAAGTTAAAATCCACAAAAGGAATTGAAAGAAACAGCCAATGACATATGAGAAAAACCTGAGCACAGTAGCCTAGAAGCCAAGAGCAAGCAGTGTTTTAAGAAAGGAACAGAGTGCCAGGCATGGTGGTGCATGCCTGTAATCCCAGCACTCGGGAGGCTGAGGCAGGAGGATTGCTGTGAGTTCGAGACCAGCCTAGGCTACATAGTGAGTTCCAGGTCCAAAAGAAGTAAAAACACTACAGTGATAAAAGCAAATTGGAAATAATGACAGGATGGCCAACCCAGTAACAGTAAGCATGCTACTGCTGACACCAACCATGATCTCTAAACACTGTTATTAAAAGGACCCAGATGCCCCTGGGGAAATGAGCAAGTCCAGGGCAGGGAATACACAAATACATCTGCAACACTTCCTTAAAAGCCTTCAAAAAGTTCAGTGGTCATGTCAGATACTTGGGATCAAACTCAAAATACCCCCACTGGTCCATGATGGCACAACTTGAGTACTAATTTGAATAACCATAATGGGCTTTACCTGACAAAATTATGCTTTAACTGACTTGTTTACAATAATGTTTTAAAGAAAAGAAAGACATTACTTGGTCTCTTTCAGAGGACATGTAAAACCAATTAGTTTTAAAAACTGATAAAGGGGGCTGGGGCTATAACTCAGTGGTAGACGCCATACTTAGCACATGTGAGGCCCTGGGTCTATCTCCAGAGCACACACATGCAGATAAAGGGAAACTTATCCTGCTTTTCCTGTGTAAACCATTACTTCAGGGTAACCAAGTAACTGACATGAGAGTTTATTTGTACAGAAATATTCTTGCTAATGAATGAAGGAATCACAAGATTCTAATATCACAATTTTGTAACCTTTAATGAAATAAAGAGATCTAGGGATTGGTCACTACAAACTAAGATCAAAGCTGGGTGTTGGGCCACACACCTGTGACCCCGGCACTCAGAAGGCTAATGCAGGAAGATCACTGTGAGTTTGAGGACAGCCTAGACTACACAGTGAGTTCAAGACCAGTCTGAACTAGATAGCGAGATCTTTTCTCAAAAAATATATATAATTAAAAAAAAAAAAAGCTAGGATCAGAAAACATCATCAGGTACCAAGTACCATATGATCTGTGAAGTCTCCAACTCTCCCCACAAATCCAAACTGAATCTCATCAAGTGCCTAAGATCTTAGGACCAGTCTTTAAAGTAACAAGGCAACAGAAGAAAATGGGCATAATGAACATAATCAAGAGTGTGGAGAACAGGACAAATGAACCATTTTCTCTGCCCAATAAGTAAATAAAGAAAAAAATACAGAGGAAGTCTCCAGTTAGACTTAGAAAATAAAGTAATTTAATGTGATCACTGAAGCTTATTTTGATCCAGACTGAAATCCACAAATCCTAAAAGACAAGCAGGGAGACTAGAGATTTGAACACTGACTGGGTATTTGATGTCATCAGAGCACTGTGGTTAAAACTTGTCAGGTGTGACTATAGTATTGTGGGCTATAGTTTTTAAGTCTGCTTTTAAAGATTTCAGTAAGAAAATCATTACAAAGAAAATGATGTCTAGTATTTGTTTCAAAATAAATGGGAAGGAGGGGACTGAGTACATAAGGCAACAAGCCATGAGGTAATTAACACTGGGTGAAGGGTATATGGGGCAGAGATCATTGTATTTTTTTTTTAATTTGAAATTTTTTATAAGAAGTTTCATTTTGTTCTGTTTGAGACAGAACTGAACACTAGAACTGGCAACACATAGGTCACTGGTGTGACCCAAATGAGGGTTGTCAGTGACATACTGCTATTGACTATCAGTGAAATGAGTTCAGGAACAGGAGACAGCCAGTATGGTGGCACACACCTGTAACTGCAACTACTTGGGAGGCTGAGGCAGGAGGATGCGGGCAACTCTTTGAGAACTTGTCCCAGAATAAAATTTAACAAGGGCTGGGGATATAATTCAGTGCTCCTTGGATTCAATCCCTATAACTGGGGGTGTGGGGGGGAGACACAGTACAACAGCAGTTTTCTCAGAAGAAAATTTAAAATGGAAAGGTAGTTATAATTCTAAGGAGTTGAGACCTTTTCTATTTAATCACTGGAAGGAAAGATCTTATTTCTCCACTGACAGTAAATTTTAAAAAGGTGGGCGGGGGATGGAGAGATGGAAACAGAAACATCTTGAGTTGGTAGGAGGAACTGGTATCCAATCCACGCAGTGGAACTGGCCTTGCTTGGATGCAGGGAGGGCCCATCTATTTTAATAGGCTCAAAGCACAAGGAGATACAAGCAAGTTGACAGGTCTGCTGGTAGAAAATTTAATAAGTTTTCTCTTAATTGCTTCTACTTTCTCAGTAGAATACAAACAAAGGCTGTAACCAAGGTGTAAGGAAGGTAGTGGCCAGAGGTCTGAAGAGCTGTAAATTTCATTTGGACTTTGTAATTGCAAATTTAAAGTAAAACCAATCAACATATTTTGTTATTTTTAAGCTATGTTCTGTTGCTCTTGTACAGGAATGGGCAAGGCTAAGCCCTGACTTTAACAAGGGTTCAATTGTTCATCTTTGAAGTATGATAGAAGGCTGGGGGATGCGATGCAGCTCAGTGGTAGAGCACTTGCCTAGCATTCATGAGGCCCTGGGTTCAATCCTCAAAACTGAAAGAAAAAAGTATGTGGAAGGGAAGCAAAGGAAAGAAGCTGAGGAATGCCACAGTGATAATGATGGATTATAGAAAATAAGCACAAGGTAAAAATGGAAATAAAGGGGATATAAGGGGGAGTTTGGGCCCATAGTATAGCATGAAGAACAGAATAGCAAAAACAGAAAACATGGCTTGAAGACAGGAGGGACAATCAACAAAATATTTATAACTGGGATTTGAAAGTGATTATGGTTATTGAAACAGTAACGGGAAAAGTGAAGAAAATGATCTTTGAAAGTAAGAGTGTGTTGGATTATTGATACAGAAATCAGTAAAAATGAAAAATGATAAAAGGAACTGAAAGAGGCAGCTAGCTATCAAGGTCCTACAAGCTCCAATGAGAAAGGAGGTGGCACACAGATGACTGCAAAATGGCAGGGGCATGGATTTGAAAGGAGTTGGAGTTTACAGGGAAGAAGTGTCCTAGAAGGTACATCAAGAAACAAGAATACAACTCTCCCCTCTCCCTGTGAATATGTGGGATATGCAAGCAAACAGCTACCACCTAAGGGCTGCGAAGTCCAGGCCTCAGGGAGAATTTACACTGAACACCACTATCCACATCACAGTCCTAAGTTCACCACCTAAAAGGTAACAAGGACTCCTCTGCACAGCTAGAATAACAACACCTCACATTCAAGTCTGATGACCAGGTCTTTTGTTTTCTGAGACTCTGCTTTGCTATGCTGCACACTGGCCTCAAATCTGTGTTCCTCCTGCCTCAGCCTCCCAGAGTGCCGGGATGATAGGGCTATGACACCATGCTTGGTTGAATGACCCAGTTTTATTTAGCTATTTGGAAAGATAACATTATAAAATTTTTAGTCTTTATTTACCTTCCTGTTGTAATTGAGCCAAGAAAAGTGCAAGGTATGTATCTGATATTAATTCTGGACCCGTCAAGAGAGAATTCAAGTTAAACCACTGGAAAAAAAAATTGTCGATATTTAAGTTAGTGTGCATTTTATGTAACATAGAATTTCACATGTCAAGAATAGATATAGCCCATCAAAACTTAGTAAAATTGTCTAAAACAATGGGAATACGGCAAAGAGATTTTTTTTTTTGAGACAGGATCTCACCATGTAGATCAGGCCATCCTCAAATTTCCAATCATCCTTCCTCAACTTCCTAGCTCTCAAATTGAGATTTAAAAAAAGTAACTGAATAATGTGGTCTTTAAAAAATGATTAGAATATCATAGATTTGTCATGATTAAAATGCTGGTTCAAAAACAAAAGTTTTCTTTAAACTTTAACCCAGGGCCTTTGCACTAAGCAACATCCCCCAATTTTTTTTTTCTTTTAAGACAAGGTCTTGCTAAGTGGTTAAATTGCCCGAGCTGGGTTCACATTTGCAATCCTTCTGCCTCTACCTCCAAGAGTACTGAGATTACAAGTATACCATTCCCCACTCCGATAGTACTCCCCTCACCCTTTTTAAAAAATTTTTCCAGTACCAGGATCAAACTCAGGACCTTATGCTTGCCCAGCAGGCGAGGCACCACTGAGCTACATTCCTGATTGTACTTTAAAATGGCTTTATTGATAGCTATAATTAAATCTTTTAAAAATATCAGTCCAACATTACTAAACATACTGATGTATGGAAAAAAGGACAACTACACAGTTTTCCCACTACTGATAATTTTGGTCAACAGACTACAACTGTGAGATGTCAGACAGTCCAAGAATTTATAGTAACTACCTCGATTTTACAAGATTACTAAGCCACCATCACATTTAATTGACAGCACTGAGCCATGATGTCAAAGGGGACCTAACAACCCCAATGATACAAAAAATTTCAAAAGTTATTGTCAATATCATGAGCAACTATTTTCCTGGATTTTGACATTGTTGATAGTATTTTTTACAGTAATCTCTTTCATTTACCCAGGTACTAGAAACAGAAAAGTTCATAATGAAAAAATAAATATAAACTTCAAATAAAAATATAAACCAAAACCAAAGGTAATAAACCAAAAGTTGACAACGACTGTATTTGTCAAAGATAAATTAGTTAAAATGTAAAAATTCAATTGTGATGGGTTAAAATTTCAGTTTCACAATAATATGTAAATTTCCCCACACATCAACACAAAGAAATCTGTGGAAAATAAGTTTGCAGACCTCACAGATCCAGTAAGTGAAGAACAGTGGATCATAACCTTCTGGAAGTATAAGTGAAGCCAGAGGTTAAATATCCTGCCCTACTTTTTCCCAGTTGAATCCCTCTTAAGTTGGTCTCCACACTAAATCTCTACCTCACAACTCCGTTAACTTGCACTTAGAAATTTAGGAAGGATTTTTCTTTTTTTGTGTGCAGGAGTTGAACCCAGGACCTTGCACTTTTGCACTTATACATGCTCCACCACTGATCTAAAGCCCCTAGCAATAATCATTTAATATGAGGCTTCCTGCAGGTAGCTGACTTAAAAGATAACAGGGAGATTTTTGTTTTTGAATTATCGTTTATTGATTTAATGCAATGCACTTTGTTGACTTTTTGTTTTTTATTTATTTCATTTTTTAAAGTTTTATCAAGATATAATTGACATGCAATAAACAGAACCCATTTACCAATAAACAGTACAATCTGAAAGTTTTCACATTTGTATGCACCCAAAAACACAACCAAGACAGTGAACATATTCCTCATGGCGGGGAGTCCTAGGCACCTATGGAGTCTTCCCGTCACTCCTCTCCCTCCATCCCCCACAATCAGCAGTTAATCCGCTTTCTGTCACTAAAGGTTAGTTCCCATTTTTCTAGTCTTTTGTATAAACGCAACATTATAGTGTGCAGTATTTTGTAACTGGCTTTTGTTATTTTTTAAAAATCTATTTATTTATTTATTTATTTACTTTGGTGCAGGGGAGTGAACTTGGGACCTTGAGCTTGAGAAGCAGGTGGCAAAACCACTGAGCTAAATCCCCCAGCCCCACCTGGCTTCTTTCAGCTAATTATTTTGAGACATGTTCACATTGTTGCATGTTATCAATAGAGCTTATTCTACAAGCTTGTGTTCAATAATCCTCCATCTAACATTGAAATTCTAAGAAAAGGGGCTTTAAATGATTGCTTCTGATAAATGACTGTTGAAGACATCACTCTTTTTTAAAGAGAAGTGATTTTACATAGGTGTATATACTACATTACATTTTGGAATCACTTCAATAACCTTGTTAAACACGAAAGCAAGCAACATAGTTGAGTGCTTTTGTTCACGTCTGACATGATTTCAGGCTTTGGGACAGTACTGTGCCAAACACAAATCTATAAATGTGATCAGTAACTGACACACTTATCACATAAAACTCACTTAAAGAGTAATTAATTTGCATCATCTTAAATATAGTTGTTTTTCTTTTTGAGACAGGATCTCATTATGTAGCTCAGGCTATCCTTGAACTCACTGTGTAGCCCAGCATGGCCTTGAACTCAAGGTGATCCCAGCCTGCGCCTTGCAAGTGGTGGGGTTATTAGAATATAAATTGTATATGGCTGTTACAGATACATGAAAAAATATGACATTATCTCTCTTTCTTTAAAGACAGTGTCTAGCTCTGATGCCCGGACTGGCCTTGAACTGGAGATCCTCCCACCACTGCCTCCTAAGTAGCTGGGACTACAGCCATGTGTCGTGGCATCCACTTCTTAAAATGGTAAATTTCTATTTAGCAAGACTGAATCCAGACTGAGGATGTGACGATACAGCTCAATGGTAGAATGGTCACCTAGTAGGCATGAAGCCCTGGGTTTGACCTTCACTACTGCCCCACCCCACCAAAAGACTCAATGCCACACACAATATTTATTAGTCAGTTTCATTTTAAAGGCAGCGATCCCTTACAGTTTAGTTTCAAATGGAGGCTAGAATGAAAAGATAGGAAAGAAGAAATATTACCTGTTTTCCTAATTTTCTAACTGTAAACCAGTGTTCTTTATAATTGCATATAAATGATTTTTCATTTCTAGAAAAGAAAAAATACACAGTATTAAGTTAAAATAATAAGAGTTATTTAGGGATTAAAAATAATTAAGATATGTTGTATGCCTATACCAATTCCACAAAATAAATATTATTACTCTGTATTACAAATGTGAACTAATTTTTACAAAGTTCATATTTATTCTGTTGACTAGCAAGCATTACACAAAAATGTAACAATTTAGGTAGGTAACATTAATTTTCTTAAAAAGCAACACATCTCTCTGATTTTCTCTACAGCAGCTCTTGGGGACAAAAGTGTGAAAGTGGTACTCTCTGCAGCACTTTGGAGACAGTGTGTGATGCCTCAGAGGGGAGACAGGTGCCCACAGACATCAAAGGGATAAAGAGGAAAGTCTATGTGAATGAAAACAGTGAACAGTGGAACAGTAGCATCCAAGTGCTGAGGTGTAGCTTCGTGGAAAAGTGCTTGCCTAACACACATGAAGGGCCTGGGTTCAATTCCTACTTGCACAGAAAGAAAAAACACATTCAAAATGTAGTTTTCTTCATTAAGAAATTATAATCTTAAAAATCAAGTTTAGAAAAAGAATCTCTGGAAGAACAGGGAAAAAAAATCTTACATAGGATCAATCCTGAGCCTCTGATACTCTGGACTGTTGAACAGGATTAGTTCCAGACCCCAAACTTTCAGGGCATTGCTTATAACCTGTTTAAAAACAAAAACAAAACAACAGCTTTTCGTAAGCCAAGCCGTTGACTCCAAATTTAAGTAGCACAAATACATTAATTATATAAACATTGTATTTCACATATAAATTTCTCTAGAAGGCTATGGTTTTCTAACAATGTATCTGCAGCAGGGGTGGTGGCGCAAGCCCATAAATCCCAGCACTATGGAAGCTGAGGCAGGACTGTGAGTCTGAGCCCAACCTAAGCACTATAGCAATATATCAAGAACCTATGTCCAGAAAGAAAAATAAATAAATAAAAGGGCTAGGGATATAAGACCTGGATTCAATTTCCAGTACTGTGGTGGTGTGGGGGGGTGTCTCAATGGTACAATTAAGTCCATAAATATATACATGTATTTCAAAAGAGTGCCTTTTATACAAGGTTTCTGAGATGTTCCAAAGAACCACACAATTCCTAGATTAAAGTGCCACAAAAATCCAGGTATAAGTTCCTACTTCCAGATGCTGGTTTTTGTTTTTTTTATAAAAGGTCTTAGAATACAGCCCAAGGTGGCCTTAAACTTATAAACTCATGATCCTCCTGCCTCAGCCTCTGGAGTGATGGGATTACACATGTGCGCCTTCAAGACCAATCAGGTGCTGTTCTTGAAACTAGTCCACTACAGGCAGGCATAGTGGCACACACCTGTAATCCCAGCACTCAGAAGGAAGAGGCAGGAGGATCACTGCAAGTTTGAGGCCAGACTGGGTTACACAGTGAGCTCTAGGCCAACCTGTCTCAAAAAAGAAAAACAAAACAAAACAAAAACAAAAATTAGTCCACTACATATATCTGATAAAAGGCTGTTGAGGGCACTGCTTTAGAAGTTATATCCAACTCACTACCTGCAATGTCAATAACAACACATGATATTATTTCATTGATTTTAGATTTCTGTGGTCATGGGGTTGTAATCTGTAGAATAAAAAGATTACATCAAACATAAAAAGGAGGAAATTTCTGAAAAGTCACTATCTATCCTCCAAGGAGCCAATAAAGAAACACATGAGCCAAGCAGTAGCACAAGACACAAAGTGAATGCAGTGTAGTGGGAAAACACGAACTGGGACCAAGAAGAGTGCCCCGTGCAAAGGAAATGACAAGTGCTGGCCCAAGTGACTTCTGATCTTAGCTCAGCTACAGTAACTCTTACCACTGCCAGGGACACGTAAAGCACTGGATGGAAATGCTGGTGAATGAACAGTCTAGGAGAGTAACACAAGGAGAATATAAACAAAGATATTTGCAGAAATGGGATTCTTAAGAGGAGTTCTGGAAGAATTCTGCACACACCTCTCACTGTTAGAATAACAAATTCACGCAGAAAAGAATCTCACAAGTTCATACATAAACAACCACATGTTGGGGTGTAGTTCAATGGTGGAATGCTTGTCTAGCATGCATGAGGCCCAGGGTTGGATCCCCAGCACTGCAAGAAATAAATAAATAATACCTACAGAATTAAAAGAGCTGTAAGGCTGAGGGTATACAGCATGAGAGTGTGTGCCTAACACACATAAGGCCTGAGGTTTGATCCCAGCATTAAGAGAGAAAAAAGAAACTATAAATTTTTTAACAATCAATTTTTAAAAAAGGAATCCAATCCTGTAAGGCTGATTTAATAGAAGATACTGCATTTGAAACTTTGTACTTTTATTAGAATAATAAAAAAAAAGGTTACTTTGATCCCTGCAAAAAGTTTTTTTAATTAAAAAATAATTTCAAAAATAGAATTAACATTACTGACATCTAAAAGCCCTACTCTAAAGCAGAGATTTCACAATCCTAATGTTTATGTTTGTCTGAGTAAAAATTTAGTACCCTTACATAGTTTTATACTCGTAGAAACAATCTACTGGGTGAACTTCTGAAGGTCATATCATGACAATGACTACAAAAAGCTGTGTAAAAATATTCCACACCAACCATAAACAGACACTGAAAGCATTTATTTATTATATGCTGTGATTACTTACTTGAATAGAGAAAAAGCCACTGTCATCCATGTTTCCAGAAGGCTGCTGTTCATTTTGATGGGTAGTTGAAGATGGGAAAGGAAAAGGATAAAAGCTGGCATTAGCATGAATATCTAAAATAACAAAAGATGGCTCTTCTAAACAATACCCATTTTTGAAAAATGCAATTCTGTGAGTTTAAAATCCATACCTGTAAAAACGTGCGATAGTCTTCACTCGTTACTCCTCCTTCTGCCATTCGCATCCTTTCTTCTTCATCTAGCTGATGGGCAATTGAAGATAATTCCACAGGGCTAAAATATTCCCCTTGCAGTAGATTATTTAGGCAATGTTGAGCACAAAGTGATCCTTCTTGCTAGTATTTCCAAAACAAGAAATTGAAATGTAATTGAACAACTGTACAACATATTCTCCTAAAAAGTTTAATGATTAACTTTTTAACTAAATTAACCCTTTTAAGCCTTAGGCAAACATGATTAACATAGGTACATACATTTTCATTTGTTAACATTAACTTTACAGTTCTACCATAGATGAAACTACAAATATGTTAAAGAAAACTTCAAGAATGACTTATAATAAACTTTATCCAATCTCATATTTTACAAAAACTATAAAAACATTTAACCTAACTCTCACTTAAAAGTTCATCTTTGGAGATTTCACGGCAGATTATTAATTCTGAAGGGGAGTCTTAATCCCTAGAATATTTATTCTTTTATTTATTAGTACATATTTGCATTCGTTGTGGAGAGGTGGCACATGTAAATAACACACTAATTCCTTTTTTCTCATTGAGCTTATTGGTACATTTTATGTATTCAGTACAGTTACAGTCATTATTGGGATCTTGTACCTTTACATGGCAGGTCTTGGTTCTCATTTTTTTCCTTTGTCCCTGCCCTCCTTTCACCCTTCCTCCCCTCCCCCTTTACAAACACTTCATTTCCATTTTTTCATATTTTTTTCTTTTCCCTTATTACCTTTCCCCTACCCTTCCCACTTTCCCTACACCTTTAGCTCCTTTCTTCCTATCTCACAATGTCCATTATTAATTCTTTTTTTTCATCCCCTTTCCCTCCTCTTCCTCTCCTTTCCCTCCATCTCTTGATCCCCTTCCTGTTGGAAAAACATCTGTCTCTCTGCTTCCTCTTATTCAAATTGCTCAGGCCAGTTTTTTTTGTTTTGTTTTGTTTTTTGTTTTTTTCCCTTTTGGTACCAGAGATCAAACTTGGGACCTTGTGCTTCAAGGCTGGCGGTGGAACCACTGAGCGGAACCATTGAGCTAACTCCCCGGCCTTGCTCAGGCCAGTCTTGAACTCACCATCCTCCTTTCTCAGCCACCTGAGTAGCTGGAATTACAGGCATGCATCACTGTGCCTGGCTAAACATTTTTTATTTTCTTTTCACAAAACAAACTCTACTTGGCCTAAATGTTCCTGGCATTTCTGATTTTAAGAACTGATAGAGGTAAGAAAATTCAGTCCGGTGTTAAGACTTGTAGCTACAGAGCTGAGGCTCTCTGTGTACCTACAGATTAGGTACACAGACTATGCAGAGGTGTGATTAGAATTGTCCCAAACAGACGCCCCCGAGAGCTTTCTGTCCTGGACAAGCCAGCAAGAGTTTGCAGCCCAGCTTAGTTCCCATAGCATCACACTTTCTCCTCATGACAGGTGGGTCTGACTTTCCACGGAACTAGAGCTTTTTGATACTGGGCTACAGACTTTCTCATACAATTGAGACTCTGAACCCAAATCCAGACTGCCTAGCATTGAGTAGTCCCTCTGTCATTCTCCTCTTCCCACAAGTGTTGCTTTCCTTACACTACACCAGTAGTGCAAAGGAAGGGAGACTCATGGGGGGGATGAGATCTCTCTCTGCAAGCAGAGACCCCAGGCCTGACTTTCTGTGAGAAAATGGTAAATGAGAGAACACCCCCTTCTACTCACCCTGGCCCTCTAATTTGTCTTCCTCCAACAAGGTCTATTTCTTAATTCAACCTGCCTGACATCACACAAGTTGTTCTGACCCCAAAGACCACCACCTTGCAAAGTACATATTTTTCCTTATTAATCAGTTTTATAGCAACAAAAATATAGAACAATGTAGAGTATATACACATAATGGAATAGGAAGGCACTACTGATACAGTGTGAATCTAAGATGGGGCTGAAAGAACTTTATCTTCATGGTTTGGTAAGGAATGAATCCTTTGGAGCTAGAGGTAACTCTCCCTCAAGTTGTAGTCACAACAATGACAGTCCTGTTTCTACCTGTTTTATGTGCTTCCAGAGAGCAAGTCCTACTGCATGATAAAACATGAAGTGGAGGGATATATCCATGTTCTACTTCTATTCCACTGAAAAACAGAGGAGATGAGCATTTCTTAAGAGGACAACCAAATGGCTAAAAATACAAAAAACAGTACTTAACTTCACCAGACATCAGGGAATATATATTATAATCACAACATACTACTACACACACCAGATTGGCTAAAGCGGTAGAGGATTAGAGACATAAAAACTATTATATGATACTAAGTGTAAATTAGCATAACCACTCTGGAAAACTCTTATCTTCTAAAGCATAACATATACATGCCCTGTGATTAGCAGTTCCACAGCTAGTTGCATAATGCAAATGTGTTTATCAAGAGAAATGTGTAAGACCATTCATAAAAGCACTGTTTATAAAGGCTCACAAACTGAAAACTATCAACAGGGATAGTTTTGTTTTGAAATTTGCATTTGTTTTTATTTATTTATTTAATTTTTAAATTAGTATGCGTGTGATGCATAGCGCCAAAAGGATAGTTTGGATCACAGAAGAATAAACAGTGTTGTAGTCACAAATACTATATAACAATGATAATTAATTAACTACAACTATGTGGATACTAAATTTCTCAAATAATGTTAAAAAAACAAAAAAAAGACAGCTGGGCATGGTGGTGCATAACTGGGAGGCTAAGGCAGGAGGATTCCAAGTTCAAACCCAGCCTCTGTCTCAACAAAAGAAGCAAAAAAGGGCTGGGGAGCAGCCCAGTGCGAAGGCTATGGGTTCAGTCTCCAGTACCACAAAAAACAAAAAACAAAACACAAAACTAAATGAATTAAATATATATTTAATTTACAATGACCCTACCTGATATTATATTTTTCCACCTTACATCAAGCCCCAAACCTCTTCCTCATTAAGCCTTCGCCAAAGAGTAACAGAAGCTCACTTTCCTAGTTAACATTCAGTGGTGCTAGAATTCCAAGATTTAAGGACCAAACTTTATGGTGCTCAGCTCAGAGGATGAACACACTGCATCTCCAGATCTAACAAGGTATTTTATAAAAACACAAAGAGGGGCCAGGGATGTAGCCCAGTGGCTCTGCACCTGTCTTACAAGCATAAGGACCTGAGTTTGATCCCTGGTACAGAGAAAACAAAAAACCACAAAGAGAACCTCATCTAAATCACCACCCAGATTTCAGGACCAATCTGAAACTAGTTCAGACCCCTGGAGACCTATTAATTTCAACCAACCAGGCATAATCCTGAGGGTGCTCTTCAAAATAGGGTAACAAACAACATGCAATCTTCATAGTTGGGTAAAGAATAAGTGGCTGGGAGCCAGAGAGGTCACCATCCCTCCAGTTACAGCCACAGAAGTGAGAGAAAACTTTGTCTCTACTCCATCCCTCAGTGTTTTGTTTCATTTTGTTTGAGATAAGGTCTCCCTGCGTAGATCAGGCTAGCCTTGAACTCTTTATGGAACCCCAGCTGGCCTGGAACTTGCAGCAATGCTCCTGCATCAGCCTCCCAACTGCTAGGATTACAGGCCTTTGCGACCATGCCTGGTCATCCCTCAGTTTTTTGTTTTGCTTTAGGTGCTGGAGATTCAATCCAAGGCCTCATGCATACTAACAGCCCTGTCCTACTCCCTACCATGAGGTCTGGCAAACACAAGGATCTGAGTAAGAGCAATAGCTAGCCCTTTGGTCCCCTGACTGTCCACCTACAGGTACCCTTCTGAACCCTCCTAACTCTGAGGCAGACCCTTCACATCCTTACACTACAGAAGTGGAAAGAAACTAGAGCACAGGTTACTTGTCCAGAATCACACAGGCAGCAGGTGGAAGAGATGAGATTCAAACCCAGGTAAAGATTCCACAGTCTGTTCTATCACCATTTATTCAGAATTTGGCTTTTCCAAATAAACATGGCCATGAGCCAGCAATCATCACAAAAGGGCATACGGGTGTCACAGAGTCAACGCTCAGCATTTTTTCAATGTTTTCATGGTTATCATTCCCAGTTCACATTACATTAAAAGTCGCAACTCAGATAACATGGCGACTGCACCAGAAGCAGCTAACAAATGGAAATAATAGCAAAAAATGACAGAAAGCAGGCACCACAAAAAGAACGACAAAAACTCTCACAAAACCAGCAGTTATTGGCATTTAGTATAAGACTTAAAGGAAGGGGTTAGAAAATTTTAACCTGTGGGCCAAATTCAACCTGCTTCAGTAGTAGCTAAGAACGGTTTTTATACTTTAAGACAGTTGGACAAACACACACACAGACACACACACACACACATGCACACACAAGAATGTGACAGGGATGTATATAGCCTGCAAAGGCTTAAAATATTTACAGAAACTCTGTTTAAACAAATAGCACATCTTTAACGTTCAAGGAACTCTGTGTGGATAACTGCTCTCTCTGCCCCATATAAGAGTCCTCACAATGTTGCCCACTCTGACAGGGAACTCTAGGGCTCAAGTAATCCTCCAGTCTCAGGCTTCAATCTGAGCAACCAGGATATAGGCTCGTGACATCCTGCTCCCCTAAGGACTCTCCTGATCTATTTAAGTATTATCCCACACTGTTTTTACTTCGAATAAATAGTACTCAAAGTGGCAAGTCTAAAAATATGGAAACCAACATTCCAAGAGGCAAAGGCAAGTAGGCCTTTAGTAGGCAAATATCCCTAGCTAGACAATTTTTTGAGATCAGAATTGGCTCTCTGGCTCAAGCATTAAAAGCATGTTGTGAAAGGAAAGGGAAAATGGAACCGGAAGCTCAAATGTTCCCATGTGGATTGTGTACATGAGTAACAATGGACCCTTGATTACAAACACATTTTCTTGAAATATGTCAAAATGTGTTCAAAGTCTTGATTTGCTAGGGACACACAAATTTGTGACAAAAGTAAACATATTTCTGAAGTATTTTTAAGCCTATACCATGTTAATAATCAACAGTGACTTCTTTTGGATATACATTTTCATTACACTAGTGTCCAGCTTCTTTTGATATAATGGCTCAATCGGTATCTTCATTGAAATCTATCCCAGGAAGATAACAATCAATGCTGTTAAAAATATGCCAGTGTGGTGGTGTGGAAAATAGTTTATTTAATTAGCATATGAGTAACACAGCTAGCAGACAAAAATTATGAACCCTGAACTAGGACTTTGGACAAAGAATGAATTTCCTCAGGCAGCACAAAATGCACCACCCTCAATACTAGATCCTGAATTTTGAGGAAGTTATTGCAAATTAACCAGTTCCTTCTGAGATCCCAGTTTACTGGAAACACTGTGTGAAAGAACTGGACTAGAGAGTCTGAGTCCCTATTGGTCATTTTAAATCCACAGAGTACCTGCGATATAGGTGACCCTTAAACAATTAAGCGATTTCTGCACCCTACTTGTCTGTAATTCTAAATTGAGAAACCACTGGGCAACCCACTTCCAGTACTAGTGGTGCTTCTCAGGAACTATTCCAAGTCCCCAATATACTTTTCCTACTCTCACAGTGAGTTCGAGGCCAGCCTGAAGTATATAGCGAGACCCGGTCTCAAACAATTAAACAAACAAACAAACAAACAAACTACAAAAGTCTCAAGAAATAGTGCATAAAGTGAAGTGTTCAGTCTTCCATGCTAAATTCTATGTCAATCCCTTTGAAAATTATAAAAACATATATGCATACTTTTTACCCAATCTCAACCAAATAAGCAAATCTTTCCTCTCCAAGATTCATAAATCATGCCAATCACGTCAAGATTGGATTGTACCAGTCCTTCCTTGTCCACATACGACCTATTCCCAGTTCCGAAACATTCAAAAATGTTTTTTAAAAGAAAAGCATTGCATCTAACATTTACTTAGATTTACATTACAAGTGTACACTATTCCATGTTTCTTTTGTTGTGTGAATTTTTAAGTGTCTTAAATGATTATTCACAAGTACTTAAAGAATTCCTTGCTCCTACTGATTAATAACCTCAGTAGTCACCCGTTCCAAACATGAACCGATTATGAAATGAGATATATGCCAAAGTTGTCCTGACAAAAGTTTCATTCACACCCAAATGACTTGATAATTAATTGGATGTGAGAAAAGACCAGTTTCTCAAGATGCCACAAACAGTATCTTCAACAGTGTGGTCACTAAGGCAATAAAGAGCTAAGCAGATCAAAACAAAATATTCCAGTCCACCCCAACACCTAAAAACAAAGCTGGCCTGCAGATCCGGAAGGATGGGAATACCAAAAGAAACCAAACTCAAACATCCCGTAAAAAAAAAGCCACTTGTGACGACTTCCCTGCTTTGCATCGTCCCGATTTTCTACTTCATTTCCTAAGTGTCAGGTCCTACAATGGCGAGCCAAGGTCCCCGCCCTCGGAAGGCTCCCGAATCAGCGCAAAAAGACGCGAACTAGACCCCAAAGATCCAAGTGCTGGGGACGTTCCATTATAGAACCGAGCGGTCCGAGAAGGAAAAGTTAACTGCGCCAGGGTGGGCCTGGGGAGTGGGTGGAGTTGGGTAGGATCCAGGGAAGCTTCCGAGAGGGGGCTGTAAGACAGCGGGGGAGACGGAAGGAACCCTCCGAAGAAGCTATGGCAAGTGGCACAGGACCACCTAGGCTACCCCCACCCCCGGTGCAGCCCCGGCCCGCCCGACCCGTCGACCCCGGTTCCCTCCAGGATCCCGGAGCTACTGCTTAAGAGCAGGAGGCGCAACCGGGGAGTAGGGGAGAGAAGCTCCCAATTCGGGCGCCGACGGCGGGTGGCGCCCCTCGCCCGCCAGGTCGGGATGGGGATGCCT